AAATGTAAAAAAACGTTTCTCAAATAAATTTGAAAAAATATCTAAAATACATAAAGATTTCAACATACAAATATGCTTTCGTTTATTAATTTATTCCAGGAAAAATCTAATTTACTGGGAGAAACAAAAGGAGCCAAGGTTTTTTAGTTACATCAATAGATATATATTTATGATATATTTATTAATATATTTATGTTAGAATAAGTTTAAGAACAGACATATTTCTAGCCGCAAAGATCCAAAATTTATCCTAATTACATTATTGTTTAAGTAAGTTTTACAATCAAACTAGCAAAAAACTTAAGTGCTTCTTAATAGCTTAAATTTCTTTAGCTTTTATACTATTTTATTATATTTTTGTAATATAATAATAAATCATTTTAAATAAGTTCTTACATTAATGTATCCCAAAAAGTTAAGTGCTTCTTAACTGCTTAAATTTCTCTTATCTTTGTAACACTTTTTTTTTTTTTTTTTTGTAAAAACCTTCTAAAAAAGGGTATAAAAGAGGCATGCAATAGGCAAAACCAAGAGAAAAACACAACTTTTCATGGCATGAAAATCGAAAACCAGCAAAGAAAAAAAAGGGAAACCGAAACACTAGACTACATACACATAGCTACTTAAGCACACACAAACACACAAGAAAATGCGATAGGAAAAACCTCATGGCGAAAGGCGAAATGAAACAGCAGAAAGCAGACAGAGAGTGCGACAGGGAGGGAGACAAACAAACAGTGGGACAAACCGACGGCGCTTGTCACTTGGCCGCCTCATTCCCATTCTCATTCCATCTCAGCTCAGTTCAGTTGAGTTCTGTTCAGTTCAGTTTGTTTGGCTCGATTTCAATGCACTGCCGACATATTAGTATGCAAAACTGATAATCAATAGGAGACGACGACGACGAGGATGAGGACGACTCAATGGCCGGGCGCTCAGTGGAGATTATGGCGCAATTTGCATACGGGATCCGGGTGTGTGCCAGGCGAAGATGTCACCCTATCCCTATTTTGACAGGTCCCAGTCCCCTGGCAGCACCAGTACCACCCAGGACCAACACCATTCCGACTAATTTAATTGACTCGGGCCATTGCAATTGGCCCACTCATCCGCTAACTGGCAACAAACTAATGTTAAATGTGTGTGGAGCGCAACTTTTTATTCGTCCTTAATTGAAATTCGTGGAAACGACACTGAAAAGCTTTCAGCCCAGCAGCCATCAAAAGGATAGATTCAAAGCTTCAAAATTTAGAAACAACGAGGGAAGGCAACATTTTTAATAGCACTTTGATGTATTTTAAACCAAAGTTTTATAGCTAAACATTTACAGTTTTCTAGAATAAGATGAATTAGTAATGTGAATTTATTTTATTAAAAAAAATAGATTTTAAAGGCTTTAAGAACTAGTGAATTTTTCATATCTACAGCTTTAATTCCTCAGAACAACATTTCTTGGAAAAAACAACATACATATACTTGTCAGCAGTAAACATTCCGAAAATATTTGTGAAATGTATGCTAAAAAAAATAATATATGAAACACCATTCCATACTCCATTCATTGCTTTTCCATGAAATTTTTCAATAACTCTCTTGGGGTTTTTATGGCCGCAATTTGCAATTTATCATCAATTTGATGTCCAAGGGGCCGAACATAAAAGTGGTCCACAAATGGAGAACGTAACAAAGGCCAATAAAAGAGGCGATGCCTGAACCAAGGGACTAACTTACTATACCTGGGCTATTCTAACATATATGGCAATATATCCATAAGCATAATGCTTGATTTCCTATTGATTTCTGGTCAGAAGCTAGCTGCATTCACCTGAAGTTCTGAGTCAAACGCACCTGCTGCTTTTGCACTGTGAGAAAAGTAAAGGTAAGAAATTTGTTTACTATTAAGAAGCTATGTAGTATATAATGGAGTATTAAATGATATTCTTTTACTAGTTAAGTTGATTATTGATATTGATATTGATAATTATTGAAAAATATTTCTTAAAGATTGAGTTAATCTATGATATTTTCGTACATTTTATCTTTAAAGTTTGTAAGTTTTAAAAATTATTACAACTTTCGAACAATAATTTTGATACTATTTTATTTTTATTATTTTTGATACTATATTATTTATTTAATTTTGGGAAAAAATAAATGCGGGTATTTTTTTAACTCCAACTGATACTAACTTATTAAAAATAAACAAATTAATATATATTTTAATTTAAATTTTCATAATTGTTCTGCATTATTTATTACAACTTTTTTCTCTGCCTTCTGGCTTTTGCTGTCTCTTTGGGGGTATAACAAAAACTATAGCATACTTATGGGCCGCTTTGAGAGTTGCCATAAGACGCTTAATAACTGCGAGTAGTGGCGGCGCATGGCGGACGTCGGCTTGAGGCAGGACACAAGGACATGGACGGCGTCCCAGTCCGCCGTATATGTACGTGCCAATGGCCGTAGTCGCAGTAATAAACACACGCACAGCCCAGTTAACAACACAGAGAAATATGCCCCAAGTGTCAGGGCGGGCAAAACATGCAATGGATGAATGGGAAAAGGTGGGCGGTGGGTGCGGGGCCCAAGGAAATGGGAAATGGATTTTCAGCTGCCTTTGTTTTTGTTTTCATTTCTTTTTTGTGTGGCTTTCTTCTTTTTGTTGCTGTATATTTGTTGTTTTTTGTTTTATAATTACTCTGATAGCGGTCGTAGTGTGTGTGTGTCTGCATCGCTGTGTGTCTGTGTGCATGTGTGTTGTGGTAAGCACACATAACGGTAATTTAATTAACATACATAAACACACACACTAAAACGGAATGTAGCACAATGCAGAAGGTTTTTTCGGGGGCAAGGGGTGGGCACTTACAAAGCGTTCCGATAAACTGCCTTCCTTTTAATCGATAGTTAAACTCTGATCTTAACTTTAGCCTTTTGTTGGTCACATTCAATAATTCTTAAATTTACATTTTTGACAATTATATACCGAAAAGCACTTGAATATTATTTTTTGATTCGATCAACAAACACTGATAACTTATGGCTATGTTTGGGTTTTATTTTTTCTTTAATCCAATTTAACTATATTTATTTATGATGTATTTTTTATATTTTTAGTTTTATCTGCTTGACAATTTCAACTATGTGTATTTATTTTTGATTCGTATGTGCGAAATGTCAACAGTGGCCGCACAATTTTAAGTTCTTGTTTATTTTATTTAAACTTGTATTTCGGTTTGCCGCCGGAAGTTGCACGTTCTGTTAGAGCCGCTGACCACTTCCGCTTCCGCGTTGCGAGCGTTCGCCAACCGTCACAAAAAGCGTTCCGCAAGCGAATAAACAATAGGATTCCCTTTTGGCACTCTCTACTGCCAGTGTTGCCGAGCTGCACCACACGCATGCGCTTTGCTGAAAATGAGTGAGATTTTCGGAGAGGAAAAACGCGGAAGAGAGAGAGCCAAACGGAAATCGCTCTGTTTTTCCGCTGCAACCTGCTGACGGAACATCTGTGTTTTTGTTATTATCCTTTCAGTGGTAGTAACAGCAGCAACAACTGCAAAAATCCAATTGTGGGTGCCTGAACATACACTGATTTCAATTATCCTGTGTGAGTCCGGGGTCACCAAAATAACTGAAGACTAATTGATAGCACACGTGCACAGAAAAAGTAGCATGCGATTTTGTGTGACTAATATTATTAAGTTACATTTTGGAGTTTAATATCTTGGTTTTCATTCAAGACTTAAGATTTTATTTGTAAAAGGTTTTTATTTTAGTTAATTATCTCTTGAATTTATACATTTAAAATTTCGAAAAATTAAAGAGTCGAAACATTTTTAGACAGCACCTAAAGGAATGCAAATCATTTTGTGAATTAATCTTTAATAGCAAGATACTTGTAGCATACATTTTTAAAATACCTTTTAATTTATAAGTTAATGGTTAACACAATTTTTTTTAACCTAAACAAATTTATATTATTATAATAAATATAATATTATTTGCAAATGCCTTACATATTTTATAAACACTATATATTAAACGAACCCAAGTCCTGCTGGGTCTTACGCTAAAAATCCTGCTAGCCGGACACTCTTACTCACACCAGTGTCCGTGCACCTACATATACCAGTGTACTGTAGGCAGCCCGAGTGTATCTGTGTGAGCCTAGCCCCAGTATCTGTGTGAGTTTGTGCGCTGACTAATGTCAAGGTTTTTTGGCTGCTGTTCAAAGTGCAGCAGCGGCGGCAGTGGAAACAGGAAAGGAAGGAGAAGACGGAAACGAAAACAGAGAAGCACGGCACGTGGCCAACCCCACCGAAGGCATGGCCCAAAGGGGGTGCGATTATGCCATTACCAGGCCAATCCTGCACCTGCACCTCGATCCCCAGGCAGCGCCTCGCATGAATGAGCAAAAATGTCGCGACAAACCCAATGCGAAAGCCAATGTCAAGTACACAAGGCAGCTAGGATGGAAGGCAGAGGCACTTTTGCATGCACCACGATACCCGGACTAGTGTCGCCGCCCGGCTACTCATGGCTGCTCTCTGCTCGAACTGCTACGGTGGTACTTCGATAGTACATTTTGAGAATTCAATTTCATAAAAAAGAAAAATCATTAATTGATTCCCGTTTGTTTCGTTCCTCTAACTGAAAAACTATTTACATTAGTTATATGTACATACCGTATCTTGACATACTAAACTTCTATTCGGAGAACCTTTGCTGTATCTCAACGGGGGGCCTTAGGTCCTCGGGCGCACGTTCATGTGACCCCCAAATTGGAATGCACACTCACGTAAATGGGCGGGCATCTATATTTTATGTGCCATCGATTAGACCTTTTTGCCCATGTTCCCAACAAAAGCCTCTCATACATATTGACCCAAGGAAGACACATAATGCAAATACATATCTCAGGCAGATGCCACTTGAAGGCCAAAAAGACTAACGATATCTACCTAATATTTGCTCAAATCAAACAAAAGGAACATTTTCAATTAGTGTCTTAATTAAGTGATGTGCCGTTGTGCTTTAATGTTTGTTTTTTATGTTTTTGTTTTAACAAATCAACGACATGGGTGTGTATGAAAACCAGGGATAGCGGCACGCCAAGAATGAACGAGGAAGCTCGAGATCAGTGGCGCACGATCATAGTCCATGGAATTCTACTGATCTGCAGAGTAGACATATTAATCTATTTTTTTCACAAATTTAATAATTAAAAACTCACCTTCGTGGCATCTTAGAGGGAGGCCTGACTTTCTCCTCCTGGCTGATCATTCTCCTTTAAGGCTTCACTTGCGTCCTGGCCCAGACGATCGTTTGCCTGGATGGATTCCGTTTTTGGAATTGGTTTCGATGCTGCCATCGATGATCCCTCCTCCTTGGTCCTTGCTAGCTGCGATCCGCCTTGTTTTAATCCGAAGGATGACCTGTTCACTATGGCGTAACCACGAGAGCGGAATGGTATCAAGCGTGTCGGAGCTGGTCCTTCTGATTTTTCGAACCATGCTCTGACCGTGGGAAAGGTTACACTGGACGGCGAGCACATACTGCCCGCAGCGTGCGACTGACCGTTTACGTTTTGGCCGGCAGCCGGAGTTTTACGTACCAGATCGGTGACGTACCGGTCTCTTTTTCCTATTGCCTGCATTTCGCCAAAAAGGTTCGATACCTCAGTGATCTTACGTCGATAAATTGCCAGTGTGTTCTCGACGCTGAACAATTCCGCTTTTATGTAATTGAACTCAGAACGGGCCTTCTCTTTCTCGGTCACCATATGCATCACCAAATCCTCAAGTTCACGTCGGTTCATGGTTTTGATCTGACGCTGGCCGGTTTCTATAAATTCCGGTTCAACTACCGGCTTCGGCATTAAATTTAATTTCCTTGCAACCTCACGGTGAATTTTAAACTGAAATCCGAAATCATTCTTGGGTATCTTTTTTGGACGCTCGTCCTCAAGAAAATCATCGCTTTCGAAAAAACAGCGAGTCCACGTCCTCTTAATGTCGACATCCGACTGGGCCTGGGGTTTTCCTGAAGTAGTGCCACGTGCCACCACGCCACGTGCCTTTTCAGTCGACTTCTTGGAATCATTCTTAGCACCACCCAAAGACTGTCCTGTGGTTGCAGCCACTGACTTCTCTACAATACCATAAGGCTCGACCTCTTTCTTTACCTTTGCGGAGGCAAAGATCGGCTTAACATCGACATCGGATTCGGCCCCCTGGACCTTCGTTCCTGGAGCCGACTTCTTGGAATCATTCTTAGCACCACCCAAAGACTGTCCTGTGGTTGCAGCCACTGACTTCTCTACAATACCATAAGGCTCGACCTCTTTCTTTATCTTTGCGGAGGCAAAGATCGGCTTAACATCGACATCGGACTCGGCCCCCTGGACCTTCGTTCCTGGAGCCGACTTCTTGGGATCTTCCTTAGCACCACCCAAAGCCCCTCCTATGGTTGCAGCCATTGACTTCTCTACAATACCATAAGGCTCGACCTCTTTCTTTATCTTTGCGGAGGCAAAGATCGGCTTAACATCGACATCGGACTCGGCCCCCTGGACCTTCGTTCCTGGAGCCGACTTCTTGGGACCTTCCTTAGCACCACCCAAAGCGCCTTCAATAGTTGCAGCCACGGACTTCTCTGCAATAGCTTCATGCTCCACCTCTTTCTTTTTCTTTGCTGAGGTGTCAGCTATTGTCTTATCATCGACTTCGGAGTCGGCCTCCTGAGCTTTCTCTCCTCTTGGCATCGTGCCACGTGGCTTTTCGACCGACTTCTTGTGTGCTTCCTTAGCACCACCCAATGACCCTTCTATGGATGCAGCCACAGACTTCTTTTCTTGAATTGTCTCCTGAGCCTTCTCCGATTTCTCAGAAATTGTATTATCCATTATTACGGGTACAAATATCTGTTCAACTGTACTGGCTAGCACTTACTTGTCTTCCGGAACGAACTTGCACTTTATTTTTAATTGGGAAAAAGCTCAATTCTTGATTTTGAAATTGATTTTATTGTCGTTACTTTTGCAGTTGTAAAAGTTCTCCAACTTCGCCAAGGCTTCAAAATGGTGTGACGCCAAAACTTCATCAGTACTATTTCCGCTTCCGGCACAGAGTCGTATTCTGCGATCTTATTGTCGTTATTGAGACACTTATAGCCGATTTACACTAACGAAAGTTATCCATCGATACCGATGGAAACGTTTATACCCTCTTCTCACAAAATGCAACAGTGCGAATTTTAAACACATGTAAACTCAAATTCCCATTGTAAATACAGCGAAGAGGTAGGTTTTCTCAAACTCAAAAATATAGTAAGAGTATGTGTTTTATATGAAATAGAAACGGTTATTAAAGGTTTAGAAAAATTATAGATCGAAATATATACAAAAAACTTTAGTGTGTACAGTTTTAGCTCAGTGAATTCCATATTTAAGTGTTCCTTGTTACCATTGTTTCGCTTTCATAATAAATATTTAAATTTTTATTGGCTAGATGAAGAATTTTATTTTAATACTATGAAAGGGATTGAAAAGCTGTTATTTTTGGATGGCGGACTAATGCCATTTTCGCACAGAGTCCAGCCTTGTGAAACAATTAATATTTTTAATAGATGTGAAATTCGGCTTTCCACAAAGCACCATCTCCAATCAAATAAGAGCTGATTGATTTATATATAAAATATAATTGACATATATTTTTAAGGTTGAGAAATTCATATATTTTAACGCAAGTTATAATATTTGACAAAGGTGAAACTCCGAGTCCCAAAGAGCTCTCAAAATCTTATAAAAACAAATTAAAGTAGTTGTTTTTTATTAAATAGACGATACTGGGAAATTTTGAATCAAGCATATGGGCATTTCCAGGATGGCGAATGGTATATTCGTACAACATAAAATTGAAAAAATACAACTCAAATTATTATTTTCGGAAGTGTTTTTTATTGCAAGGTTAATACATTTCACCAGTATTTTTTGTATTCTAAAAAGACTTTTCATTTTGAAATGATTAATAAACAAGAAAGGAAGCTTACTTCGGCACCCCGAATACCCTTGCAGATAGAACTTCGATGACTTGGAATCAATGCAATATAAATTTTATATATATATGTTAAAAAACAATGCAGTAATGCCTGCTTTCATTTCATTCACCTATTCATATTATATTTACTGTTTTACATTCACAGTTTTCCATTTTTCCTCTTTATAAAACGATCGTTTATATGGCAGGATATGAAATAGTAGTCCGAATTTCATAAAATTTTAAACAAAATTGTAGAATAATATGAAATGGCTATATCTAAATTTTATACAAATCTGTTGAAAACTGAAAAAGTTCTAATTTTTAATTGTATTAATTTCTCGATCGTTCCTATGGGAGCTATATGACATAGCAGTCCGATTTGTATAAAAATTAACACAAAATTGTAGAATAATATAAAAAAATAGCTATATCTTAAATTTGATTAAATTCTGTTGAAAACTGAAAGTGTTATAATTTTTTTTGTAAAAATTTTTCGATTATATGATATAGTCGTCCGATACGGCCCGTTGCGACATACATATATACGAGTGAGAGTATTAGAAGACAAACTATAAAGTTTCATTCAGATAGCTTCAAAATTGAGAGACTAGTTTGCGTAGCAACGGACAGACGCACAGACGGACATGGCTAGATCGACTCGGCTGTTGATGCTGATCCAGAATATATATACTTTATATGGTCGGAGGTGCCTCCTTCACTGCGTTGCAAACTTCTGACTAAAATTATAATACTCTGCACAAGGTTATTCCCGATTTAGATCGGTACATCGCGAACGCTAAAATATTTCCATTTCGTTTTTTTTTACTCAAATTTCGTTAATGAAATTTTATTAAGATAAATAAAACCACAACTTCAATACATAAAAAACTCTTACAAATAAAAGTAATAATTTGTATGTGTTTTAAAAATATATATTTTTGTTTCGAACTTGGTAATTTATTGTTGGTAAAAATAACTGGAAACAAATATTAAATATGTACGAACGAAAAGCAAAGCCAGCACTCAAACTCGCGAAATACGGAAAAATCCTACCTGTATGTTTCGGAACAAATATTTCAAAATAAAAACCAAAAATGCCGTGAATTGATTATATTCTTTAAATGTACACATTCCTTAAACAATATAAAATAAAGTAACACAAGTTTATAGACTTTTAATTTAGCATTCGAGTATGCCTTTTTATGGAAATGTCCATATATGTATATCAAAGTGTGCCTTGGGCATACCATAGCTTTGGAACGTTCCTGCCATTAACAATATCACCCAAATTTCAATATTCAGGGGTTCCCTTACCACTGAATATATCGGCATCTAAAAACAAAAAACATTTCTCCATCATAAAAATATCGGCAGAATGACTGAGAAGTCGATATGGCGGCTACAGATTTGTATAAACGATTTGGATTGCTTAATAAGAGGTGCAGTAGTTGAAAATAATTAAAGATTATTTAGAAGAATACAGAAGCTTAATACAAGTCATTCGACTAGGTTTTTCGCTGAACATTAAGCGGTCGACTTTTTTGTGGCCGTTCGTTATACGACTGAATATATAGTTTTACCTTGCAAAATTAAATTTATATTTTTGAAGGACTAATAAAACCAACGTGTTCGAATTTACCTCGAACATACCACAATACAGAAATTAAAATAAAAAAATGTCATCTCTTTCGATATTTATTCAGTGTTGGTAGTATTTCATGTAAGTTTAGAACTTAATGGTTAGTGATAACCTAATGGGATTAAGAATATAATTCTTTTGTAATTTTGTTAATGCTGCCCGACCCACAGCTGCACAGGCAGGATTAGCTTGACGTTATTCCCGTACAAAATCTCGTTAAAACTTAAAACTTAACTCATAATTCAGCTAATTTCAAAAGATGAACTATAACGCGACCGAATGAATCCTTAAAAAGCTTACTTATATGTATAAATAAATAAAATACAAATTAGATCTAAGACTACTGCTTATCCTATGCATGGAAAAGGAAAAGAACTAATCCATTCGCTTACGACCAGGTCTTCGGCACGCTGAACGGGCCGAATCGCTGGTGATCGTCCACTCCCCGTACTGCAAAATAGTATCGCTGGTTCTCCTGGAACTGGTTCAGTGTTACGGCCATCGGCAGCAGCATAGCTTTAACATCGCCAACATGTCGCCAGCTGTCCGTACTGGGCTCGTGGATCGTCTCCTGATACGCATAGATCTGGTAGGTAACACAATCCGCGTACCGCGGGCTCGTGTCTTCCAGCGTCCACGAGATAACTATTCCAGTGTCCAGAAGACTGATGCGGATTACAGGACGCGACGGCGGCATTTTCCAAGCTGGATTAAAGGGCTGGGCAGGCGACGTGGGCAGTGGCGCCGGATGAGAGTACCTTAGCCGGGAGGCAGCTGGCGGGGTATTCTCGGAGCGTATCTGCATGGTTATATTCGAGCCCATAGAATTACGCTGACCTGTGAGATTAAACATATATAATTAGTTTTTGAACATCTCATGAATTTAATGCTTAGAACCCACCTCCTCCATTGCTTTGAACTATTTGGCGTGCATTCACTCGCGCTAATTGCATGGGAGATTGCCGAACCACATTCCCGCCTCCACGGCCTCCTCGGCCTCTCGTCGCAGCTGCCGCCTGGGCATTCCTCTTCACCGTATTATTTGCCGCCTGGCGCAGACGAGCATTCGCCTCTATGGAGGCCTGCACGGCCTGAGCAGCTTGCGTCGCTGCTGCTGCGGCCGCTGCCGCTGCGTCATCTTCATCAGTCAGATCGATGACGGCCTTCTCCTTCGGCTTAGCCGGCGCTAAGCTGGGCTGTTGGCCATAGGATCCAGGAACGCTTCCTCCGGTAGAAGACAAGGGAACTGACACGGTTGCCCCTGAAATAGGCGGTGCCTGGGCGTGGACTGTCGTCGTGCACTTGGGTTGTTTGGCCGGACCGGGACTGAGTCCAGAGCTGGAACTGGATGCGGGACCTGGCCGATGTCTGCAAGAATTAAAGAAACACACATTAAAGTACTACTTCCAACTGCATGAAGAGGCACGAACTCACGTTTGATACTGTTGCTGTTGTTGCTGGAGCTGCTGCTTCTGGGCCATGTAGGCAGAAACGGAGGCGGAGACATTCGTTGCATTCCGCTGTCGCATGGCAGCAGCTTTGGCCGCCGCAGCCGCAACGACTGCCGAGGATGCCATACCCGTGGATCCTGTGTGCTTGGATGCATGCATGCCCCTAGTAATGCCTCCGGTCGGCGGAGAGGCCTGCAGGCGATGGACGTTTGGCTGACTGTTGGCAGGCGAGACGGAAGCCCCTGGGTTCGGCCGCTGGGGTGTTATCTTCTGCAAACAGCCCCTTCGCACTGGTGGCGTGCCAGCAGTCGCCGCAGTCGGTGGTTGGCCAAAGTTGGCATTGGATCGAAGTTGCTGCTGAAGGTTGGGACTTGGACTGGTACTGGGGTTGGGGCTCGTGGCAGTTGCTGGCACAGTTGCAGCACCGGAAGGCGTTGTCCTGGATCTCATTGGTGATCGCATCGGCGAGGTGCTCGCCTTCGGAGGTGTTCCACTGGGTGGCGCCAACATGCTGCTCGCTGCGTGCGACTGATCCTGCACGGCGACCGTTGGCTTCATAGCTTTGAAGGGGATGCCAACCTGCAGTCCGACAGCTCGGGTTATACGTACCGGAGCGGTAAAGTGCGAGTTCTTGCTTTCCAGGTCCTTCAGCACTCTCTTGTGCACCGTGTCCAAGTCAAGGAACTGCTTGGACACCTCGGCAATCTTACGTCGATATGCGGCGAGTGTACTTTCGCACTTGTCCAGCTGTGTGCGTATGTCCGCAAACTCACTCTTGACCAGCATTGCCTCAACGACCTTTTGCAGCACCAGCTCTTCTAAATCGTCGCGGGTCAAGGTGTCAAAGCTCTTGCGGAAGTTCTTCAAGAAATCCAAGCGAAGCGGCTTGACATCCGATTTTATTTCAGGCTCCGGTTTCAGATCCAATTTGAGTTCCTTTTCATCCAGCGGTTTGACCAATTCCGTTGGGTTTTCATCCACTGTATCGTCCTTTGCATCTAGATCAATTTGGAGCGTGTCGCTTGAACTATTCGAGTCGGAATCATCAGTCTTGAGTTTTTTATTGGGTATCTCCTCGTTCCTCTGAACAGGACTTCTCTCTACACTATCGTGGCTCCGCTTCGCAATTAATTTTTATCTTCATCTTCGCTGCCGAATTTTAAAAGTGACTCTGCGCCTACCTCTGGGTTGGAGGTTATTTTCTCATCGACACTAAGGCGAAGACGCTTTGATTCAGGCTGTTCGGCATTTTCGGCTGGCCTTAAGAGGTTACTACTGCTAGAGTTGCTGTTTCCATCCTCCGTTGTAGCAGACTTCACCTTATCTTGAGTCTTTGGTTTATCAAACTGGTCACACGCATTATCGGTATTGTCCACCAGTAGGTCCTTGCTAGCAACCGACTCCTGAGCAGTTGAATCCGTGGGAAGTTCTTCGGAAGCTGTTTTCTTTTCTGAACTCTTGACAGCTTTGTTCTCCGTTGTTTTAGGTGACGGTTCATCGTCCTCATCTTCAGACACCAGGACGACATCGTCATCCTTGTCCGCCGCAGTTTCAGGCTTGACTTTCTCTGTTGCTGGCTCTACGGAAGTTTCATCCGTTTTAGTCTTATCTATAGGTTCAAAGAAAATCACTTCGTCATCTGATTCGTTCTCTTTGGTTTCTTTTCCAAGAATGATTTTCTCATTTGACTCATCTTTATCTTTCTCTTTTTTTTCAGTTTCCTTCTCAGTTGGGTTTTCGGAGACCCCATTAACCCTTGGTTCATTATCGTTCTCGGAGATAATCACCGGTGCATCATCTTCCTTCTTTGATTTCTTTTTTTCCTCGCTTTCGAAGGAATCTTTGTCGACCTCCATTAGGAAATCGTCTATAGTGGTGTCATTCCGTTCCTGGGTTTGCGTTCGACCCTCCTCATGCTCGGTAGCAACCTTCTTAGGATTTGTTATTGATTCTTCGTCATCTATTAACATGGGCTCTATTGGCTCTTCGGCTGACTTCGGTTCTCTTTCAGTTGGCCCCTCGGTTGCTTTGTGGCCCTCTTCTTGATGGAGTCCAATAACCGACTTGGGGGCCGCTTTATTAAGAGAAGCTTCTGCTTTCGCTGCACTCAAAGCTTCTAATTCCGCAGATTCTTCAACGGTTGTCTCCTCTTCTATGCTAACTTCTGGCCCTTCTGTATCCTTGGCTGCAGCATCCACTTCCTTAACCTCTGTGCATGTAACTGTTTCCTCTACCGTAATTTCTAGTGCTTCCGTATCACCTTTGGCTTCCGAAGACGTATCCTCCGCGACGGCTTCAGATTTCTTGACCTCCGAAATGGCATCAGATTCCTTGACCTCTGTTGTAGTTTCGCACACTACACACTCATTCGAAGAATCTAAATCTATGACGTCCTCGTCGGGAAGTTTTTCGGTTCTGACGGGTTTTTCGACTTCGTCAACCTTAGGGATATTTTCTTCATCTGAGGAGATCTCTTCAAGATCTTCAGCTGCCGACGGCTTTGACTCAGTGACCGGCTCTTCACGTGGCTTAGCTTTCTTACAGTCCTGAGAAACGAATGCATCAAATTCATCTGAGCTGGAAATGCTGTCTAGAGCATCCTCAAATACATCATCCTTGGAGGTGCTCAGTTCGGTCGGAGATTTGGAAATAATTTCTTCCTCAGCATCGGGCGAGACATCAATTTCCTTTATTGCTTTCTCTTGAATGCTTTCTTTTTCGTCTTCTTCTTTTTCTTTGTCTTCTTTATCTTGAATGCTTTGTTGGGTGTCTTCAATTACCTCTTCAATACCCTTTACGGATTCAAGCTCCGGTTCCAGCTCCACGTTTTTATTTTCACACTTTTTGAGCACCTCTTTCTCTGCTTCTTCTACCTTTTCGTCTTCAACTACCACATCAAACTGTCTTTCATGAAGGCCAGCTGTTTTCTCCTTTGCCGTCGCAGAGTCGCATTCCTCGCTCTTATCGGGACTATCAGGACTATCGTCCAAGTTCTTGGGACTGCAGTCAACAATGGAGCTTATTTTGTCTAGCAGGTCATCCAAGTCGCTACCCGCATTCCGTTCATGCACTTCCGTGGCTGTAATTGATTTACCAACATCTTGGATTGGTAAATCCTGACCATTAGTCAGATCACTAAGGTCGCCTTCATCCCTGGACGATCGGCTACTGGATTTGTTGTCAATGGCTTAAATTATATATCGATTATTATATGCCTGCATGCATTCTATTATCTTATACTTACCAGGGGTGGAGAGAGGTTCTACATCACTACCGAGGTCCGAGGATATAGTTCGGAGTAAAGCGCCCTCTTTCGACAGTTCCTTCAGTTCCACATTCTGGCTTACTTCCATCATTTTTGGTCTATATTTATTTTTCTTTCTGACCTATTTTGAACACATTGAACCACTGTAAAAAGAATACAGATTTTTAAGTGACAAAGGATAAACTTTTTTTTGATGGCATGGCAACCCTGCAAATTCAGTGACCTGGACCACCGTCCTCCCCCCTACATCAAATAGATTGTGTTGATTTTGGTCTTTTAAAACAGACAAACATCCAAAATAGGGAAGGGAAATATATGTTTTATAACGAAAAAAAGTAATAATAATGTAGGAAGCCGGAGAGCTTTTGAATGAAAGCTCTTCCATAAGCTTTTGCAATAGTTTTCGCCTTTTATGATGGAAAAGTGAATGGTTGAGAATTATACATGTTTTTTAAGCATGTCCTAAAGAACTTCTACAATAAAACTTTTCTAAAAACTAATCAGACCCAATTCGAAAGAGTTCTCCAAAACTGGGGTAAGCAGCCTGGGGTTCCGTACTATGCAGTACTTTTTGTTTGATAACCGATTTTGCTCAAGATTGTGCTCAGGCTTATCGAAACCGATCCCAAAACTCCAAAACCTGAAACATATTTCCAATACCAACAACAGCTTTTTCATTACGCTTTGATTCCATTCTGTGTGTATGTATCTACCTAGCCTAACCATGTGTTGTTGTGGTTTTTGTTGATTGCCTCGTTCGCTCGTCGCTTCACGAACGCAACAATAGCAACAAAACCAACAACAACACTGGCGGCGACTGCAGTAGAAAGGCGAAAGCAAAGTGACGATAAATATTCGCTCAAAGGAATGACGAAAGACGGACAAAAGACGGAGGAAAAAAACGGATACCACTCAGTATATCGAGTGTCGAAACGATATTTACTATCTTAATATTTGCCTATCAAATTGTTCACTAACAAAAGTGAGGTTATGTTGAGGCAATTTATTAATTAAGCGCTTTTATACGTGCAAAAGTGATGGTAGTTAAAGTTAAAGGTTACTTACTAGATAAGAGAACAATTAAGGACCCTGCACCTCACTTCTCCAATTATTTAAACTAAAGTACACTTGGAGAAATAAAAATGAGTTGGCCTTCTCGTCGCGTTCACAGTCACAATGAGCGAGGCGAACGTCAACCAGCTGACAGCGAACGCAAAAAAAAGAGAAAGAGAGAGAGCGCACGTTTGCTGCCGAGAGCAGCGAAGCGATAGGGGGCAGAAAGAGATGAAGAGTGCAGGGAGGGCGTGTCGTGTCGCGGGATGATAAGACTCGATAATGGGATTCTATCCGGGAGCTAAGGAAATCACTTTCACATCTTTGAACATTGGCCTTTTGGCCCGTTTGAGTGACGTCATGCGAATAGGGAAGAGCAAAGTTCGTTTATCCCTGCAAAAACTTATGCCAGCTATTACCGTCGCAAGTTGGCAGTCCATTTCAAAGTTGGGAGACCATATTAAAAAAATAAACATTAAAGGGGGATGATATTGAAAATAAAAGTTAAGCAGGCATGGATCTTCGTTGAATCAAAAACAATGTTTAATAACAACTCAAATGCGGAACGTGTACTGATGGCGCAAATAGAACGCGTTTAACTTTGTATGTTGTATATGTACGCCTTTAGTTGCGAGCGAGAGGGAGGGTGAGATGTCGACATAATTCGTTAGAGCGAGACGGCTATATGGTCTACCAAAGTGGGAAGATGGAATATGGGAGTTAATAAGACCACTAATGACATTTAGATCCATTTTTCATAATCTCCTCCAGGAAACTAAAGCCGAAGATACAAATTTGTTAAAAATATTATTCTGATAGAGAGCAAACAAACGTGAGCGGAAGTGAGGGGCAGAAATTAGAAAGAAAGAAAAACACCTTGATGAAAAACTTTTGATACTTTTAGAATCGAAGGTCCCGGGTCCGGACAAAAAAAACTTTTAAAGATGCACTTAGGACTTCGGCAGGATACCGGTTTAGGATAGAGAGCAATAGCGAGAGAGATAGAGAGAGAGAGAGAGAGAGAGCGTAAGGCGGCAAACATATTTACACTTGGCTCTATATATTTGTCGGCATGTACATATAAATTGAATAAAGTTCGCGTAGCGCCGAACACCACACGACAAAATTGTTGTTGGCGGCGTCGTATACGACCAGGCGAGCCGAAAGATACAGCAGCAGAACGAAAAGCAACAACTAAATGCGGCAAGTAAACGAAAATGAGGCGTCGTTAGCCTATACCTGCTATTCGAAAGCTAAGCCCGGTTATCTGTAACATTACGGAAAGTTGGTCCTACGAGCTAGAGTTCACATGTTCAGAGAATTACTACTATCCAATGTGAAAACCCAGATACCCTTCTCCGATTTGCATCAGCTGTCCCATCAAAACCTAAATACATATACATACATAAGTATATATATATATGTATGTATGCGCTTAAATATAGCAAAACAACATTTACCATTCGTTTTTTTGTTTGCAACCAAAATAAGCTATCGGGGGAGGGGTGGGCTCAATTTAAAGTCCGTTTATTTTCATCCGAAGTCGACGATTTCGGGCGTTATGTCTATTATAGCTGTTTCACTCGCACTCACACACTTGCACGTCGCTTTAGCAACATCGACTCTGTGAGTTTGTATCTATACCAGAATGTGTATGTGTGCGTTTTTGCAACGCGTTCACATTCTTTTTAGGTTACGTATCGATTTTGATGCAGAGTGAGGTTAGGTCGAAAAACATCTTCAATTTTGGAAATTTTGAGATTATAGGGACATTTTCGTAGCCCCAGCGATCCGGTCTAATCAGATCAGAAATCAGGTTTTCAACAAATGCGCAACCCCGAGCATCCCAAAACATGCAGGCTGCAAATGAAAGCAAAAGCAAGACGGGGCAACATTTTCGTTCACCTATTGTACAATTTTATGTCTTCAGGGTTGCCAAGCCTGCACCATGACGGCGATATGAATGTTATTCAAGTGTTATGATTAACAAGGCGATATGCAGGGGGGATAAATATGAAATTGCTAACACGCTGTGACTTAGGGTTGCCACCCGCACTAGGTGCCTATATTTGTTGATATAGCTGTAAGAGAAAATGCCACCATCATGCATATATTGCTTCTGGTATATATGTCATATAATCAAGTTTATTTTATATTAAAACATACTTTTAGCACTAATATAGGAATGATAATTGCAACCACCTGACAACCCTATAAACACAAAGGTCTTTAAAGAAACTCGTCCATATCTTACGTACCTACTTTAAATCTTTAAAGTACGTACCTAGAACGTTAAGCTCACATCAACTCAAAAGTAAAATATATATATTGGGTTGATTAAGTAAGAACTATATTATACCATATAAGCCTATACATGAATCAAAGAATCAAGAAGTTTGCCACCTACCTTTCAGAAACAACCCGATTTACTCATTTATTAGCTGAAGTAATCACAAAAAATGTCAGAATTTTGCATAACCCAGCTCGCAGCTGTCAGTGGTCAGTGTTTTGAACGATTTTAACAGTTTTCGAGCGATTTGTTTACAAAAATTCAACAAATCCGCTCCCGACGCGTTTAAACGGCGAGATGAAACACAGGCTAATGCCAGACAACAACAAAAACGGCTGAAAAGAACCAGTCCAGACACAACTGGTTCCAAACGAGCGGCATGCGGAATAGAGCTGGGACCGTGACCGGCCATATGGGTATTATTTTTAGGTAAGTAGTTATGATTATAGAAAAGTTAACTGTTATTTTTAGATTTTTATTTACATGTAACTAAAACGTCATGAACTTAAGTACATATATTAAATATTATAAATACAATAAAAAAAAATCGAACACTCTGAACTCACGGTAAATAATAATTTACAAACCTTATATAGTTTCGATAATACGCCCGCAGATAAATCCATGTGTTATTATATTCGTGATATTATTGCACGTGCCCATCTCTATTACGGAACCAGACCAAAAAATTATGAAAACCAGGGCTGCGAAAAAACAATAATTACTAGGAACTGGAACCAATCCATATTAGAAATATAATCTGATCCAATCTTTTCAAGAGGATTAAGCTTATTAACTTAGTAACTTTCTATCAGATAAGTCTACTCCTAATAATTGTTTTTTAGTAAGTTCATTGTTTAGGTAAGTAACACGTCAAATCTTGAACTAGTAGAAGGAACCAGCAACGCAGTCCCTGGATGAAGCAGTTCAAAACCAGTTCTGGTTCGAGTCCAGCGAACCAATGGCAAGTGGAACAAAATATAAACATTGTAGGTTATTCGTTTTATAATAAGAAATGCAAAACGTTTTCAATTAAAATGAGCAACCTACTACATTTTGCCTTGCGGCAAGGCGCCAATTCGATCAAGAGGCTCAGTCTTCAAAGTCTAAGACTGACAGTTCCGGCTGTTATTAGCAAATCGCCGGTATTACCCACGATTAAGAGGTTTTCTTCCCAAGCTGCCCCCTTCGATGTGAGCACCAGTGTTTCAAAGGACATAATACTCTTTAAGTATGAGAACCCGCGCTTCTACAAGATGCTGAACTTCTTCGGGGTCTGTCAGTTTGTCTTCTGGACTTATCTATCGCATTTTGCCTTTACAACGCTGAAGGATGCCCCCGTTGTGGAAAATCCGGGTGATGATTTAAAGTGGTACCAGCGTATAAATTTGGGAGACAACAAGTACCGGAATGGCATTACTGCCTGCAGTTTCCTGATAGGTGAGCTGAGTTTTGTCATCTTGGTAAAACACTAAATACGTAATATCATCTCAGGATATGGCATTCTGTTTGCTGTCTGGATGTTCACCCTCCGCTCTGTGCGGTTTCTTATCCTGCGAAAGGGTGGCCAAAGCGTTTCCTTTGTAACTTACGGACCCTTCAACCGTAATCGCATTATGACAGTGCCTTTAAAGTGCGTTTCCGCGGAGGAATCGCGAAACATGGCCCGGGTGCAATTGCCCATTAAGGTCAAAGGTAAAACCCTGTACTATGTCCTGGATATGCGCGGAGAGTTTCGGAATCCGCAACTGTTTGACTACACGGCGGGCCTTAAGCGCCGCATTTAAAATCGGTTTCTCGGGTAGTTTGTTATTTCGTAACTTATTATTTGTAAATAAAATGTACACTAATTAAATGTAAACTCGAACTTAGTATATGGGCTCGGGTTTCTGGGTGAGCAGGAGTCCGAAGCGCTTCTTGATAGTAATTCGGTGACGGGAGTACTTATCCTCTGGGGAAAACCGTGCCGGATGAGCGGACAATGTTGGGCGACCATCCTCAGTGCGTTTCTATAAAATCAACAAGTTACTGGAGTAAAATAGGGTAAAAACTCCCATATCAATAGGTGCTTACCTTCAGAGTGTAGACTCGGTCGCCGTTTTCGTTAATTGTGTACATCAGATACATTTTGAATGGGTTTTCTTGTTTAACAACTTTCCAAGAATAAAACTGTAAATAAAACACGTGTGGCGAGCGTTGAATAGAGGTGGACAGTTTACGATAACTCCATTTATTGCTAAACACATTTAACTTGTAAAACGATAGTTATCGTTTATTGAGATGGGAAAACACATCTAAATCTCGTGATGTAAAAAATCATATTGAAATTATTTACGTTCTTGTTTGTTTATTAAACACATAGACACAGATTAAAACTTTAAAAAGTAAATATATAAAAAATACAGATTTTTTCATGTCTAAGCTTATTTCGTACAAGAAACTCATTGCAACCCATTGAAGAAGATATCAGCTTATATATTTATCACTGCGTCATTTGGTTACACTGGAGAAAAAAGAGAAAATCTATCCCAAATCACTTAAGTAATGGAAAAACTCAATGAAATATTGCTGCAATGGTTAACCTCAGCCGTAGTACTGTCCAATATATTAACCAAGGCTTTTTTCGGGAAAACCGTCCGCCGCGTATTGCGAAAACAAAACTTTTATGGGAGAGTAGTCCTCAAAAAGCCATTTTATCAGAAAAATTAGAAACGCTTTCTCTTTTCGGTAACTTTTTGGTATATGGAATTTTGGCTCTTAAAGAATATGTATATTATGTTAGTACTAGGCTTTAATAGAAAACTATTGCTTTAGTTTTACATTAATTTATTTGTAGAATCGACGTTAGCGATGTTTCGAAAACATCGATCTTTGCATCGAACATCGATGTGTCTCCACCTCTAAAGTGAGCGCAATTTACTTCTGAAAAATGGCAAATAAAGTTGATAAACTGCACAAACAGGCTTTACGGGAGCAACAAAAACGAATTAAACCTGGAGAATGTATGAAATATGTACGGCTTGTGATAGATGCCGGATTTTTGGGGATTCCTGTGGGTCAACAGCTCCTTCAGCAGTTGAATTCCACCAGCTTGAAGTATGAAATACGAAGTTTGCCAGTCAGTCACTGCATATTTTGGGAGCGTAATGTAGGGCAACAGACAATTGCACCCGGAACAAGTCCAACTGGTCTAGATGAGGCGTGGAAAAAAGAGGATCAAGTGATACAGTGGCTTTCTGAATCCACTTTCCACCAGGCTGTCAAGGACCAAAGCTTGGTTTGTGTGGGGCCCAGGTTACAGGCCTTGTTTCCCGATTGCCAATATACGGTGGCACTTTCCAAGCTTCGTCACAATAAAAACAGCAGCACCAGCCAGGATGCTTTGATAGAAATGCAGCTGCTTCAGGAGCTTCATGTGGAGCAGCTGGACCGACCTGAAAGCCAGGAACTGTTGGCCCTTATTCAGCGCTACACGAAAGCCATAGCGGAGGCCCCGTACAAAAAGCAGCGCAACGAGACCCTGGGATGCTTCAAAAAGTACGTTGCCAACGATAAGAAGCAATGCGTCCGCGTTGATCAAGGCAATGGATACGGACGCCTCTGGCAACAGCATTTGAATCGCTTGCCCCAAGTCACTCTCGAAGTGGCAGAGTCGATTATAGCTCAGTATCCCTGCCCAAAGAAGCTTCTAGATCACTTTTCGAGTGATCCCACTTCTATACAGACGTTGGCTGACCTGAAGATCAAACGCTGTAATGGACCCCAGCCCATGCACACCGAGAGGCGCATAGGAAACGTTTTAAGTAACAAATTACACACTCTTTACAATTCTAGGGATCCAAATACTTTGATTTAAGCTTTTGAATCTTCAACCAAAGCTCAATAATCAAACAAAACACAAACTTAGTCTGAGGACCTGCACATATATATAAGGTTCCTATATTATATACAAATATGTTTTAAAATTAGGGTAAGAGCTAAGTATTTAACAGTATTTCTCTTCGTATTAAGGTATATATTAAAAAAAATCACAATATTCTTACACACGAAGCTTTTTGAATTTAATTGTTTGCACACCCGAAGAATTGATGATATTGTTGCCAAACTAAGCTAGAACTTTGTGAAGATCGGGAATTGGGGAAGTAGCATCAGTCAATCTATAGCGTGGCCAAGATGCGTGTGAAGCCCAGGCAAGCAGATACTATTGTCTGTCCGAGGCCCCAGACCATGGCGTATATAGGTGACATGGGAAGGCTGGAAGCGCGATGCACGAAGGCGATAACCGCACTGCTGATGATACCACTCGAAGCGGGCGACAGGAATCCCATGACGAGGATCAGGATCGAGAAGAACCGACCAAACTTGTGCTTTCGGAGTGTAACGAAGGCCACCACGGCCGCGCACGTGTGTATGAAGATAGAGGAGAAGAGGGCCCACAGAAAGACATGGTACCACATCTCGCGAAATGTGTTAAGGCGGGCTTGGGTGCGCAGTCCCATCACATCGGCAATGGTGTCCAGCTCATCGGTGTCATCGGAAAACATGGTTGTATTTGGGCCTGTTTAAGGATTCACTAATTACGATGCTAGTTTCTCTGAGTTAGTCCAGCTGCATGTGTAGTGTATCCTCCTTATGGGGTGGATCGTTCATCTGAAAGCATAAGTTGAATCATGTTTTCGATGACCTCTTGGCACTTATTTATACTCACGCCCACGAGTGTAATGACAACATAGCCACACCCACATAAGTAGTGTCGAAACGAAACTAATGATTCCCTTCGCACTATAGATCGCTTTTGGTGCTATTTTTGTTTATTAAACAGTTGTATGATTGTTTTTAATTATGGTCAACAATCGATTAGGACTGTCGTCACGGCACTCAAACGGCAACTTGCTGGCGGTAGTGAATCTTTAGCTCTGCTTTTTTATAAGGTCTATGGTGCTTTGAAGCTGTGGCTGCCTCTTATAGCCAAAACACAAGGACTCTTTATGAATTATTTGTAATTTTTACGTTTTTTTTTTGTAAGATTTTCTTGAGCAACGCGAATGGAACGTATTGGAAATGGGCCAGTTCTGATAAGCAGTCAGCTGTGGCTCGCAATGGAACTAGTTCAGGAGAAAAAATATTTGTTCTGGGTATTTTTGACTAGTTACTATGGTCAAGAATAATTATAATTAAGCAAAAAAGACAAATACCTTAGGTTGTATAGCCACTTAACCTTTAGCCTATTAACCCCAGTGAACTTATCGATATCGGGAATGCTTTATCGGCGAACCAGTTCCGAATCATTTTAGCACTAGTGACAACTCTACAATCAATCCATAAACAAAAAATTTTTGTGTAAACTAAAAACAAAAGCGGAAGCTCAAAAGCAACTTTTTCCGTATAATTTGGCCTTTTATGATTTGTTAAATTTTTTATTTAGAATATGACATGCTGAGAAGAGTCCTTTGATCAAGTGTAAGTTCCGTCAGCCGCTATGACACATTTCCTTGAAACCGAATGTATGTGAATAAGTTTGTACATATGAATGTATGTAACTGCATCCGCGGATATGTACATACATATATGTATATTTATGTTCTCGTGTATCTTACGCACTCGCGATATATTTACATAGTACGTATGTGTGTGCAACGCGGCTCGCAGATCCGAGAATCTGTTAAATTGTCCAATTCCAGTAAGGTTGGGGTCACACACACACACATATGGATATGGATTTGCCAGGCATATGCTTGGGGACCGAGATTAATTAAAGAGGCGTCTGCGTTCCACCATTGCAGACTTCACTATACTCTTCGTGCCCCGCAAAACCAACGACGCATTTAATCAATGTTCTCCAACGGATTGCCCTGCAATCTGTCGTTTCCGAGCTGTCTCAGTGTACCCAAAGACGAGATCGGTAATGAAGAGCTCCTGCCCTCCAATATGGGAACCCGCGAGCCAGTTATTCTCAATGTCTACGACATGGTGAGTATTTCACTCTCTATACATATATTCTGCATTTCCTGTGCAATCCAATGAATGTGCCCTTTGCAGTACTGGATCAACGAGTACACAACCTCGATTGGACTGGGCGTATTTCACTCCGGCGTAGAGGCATTCGGCACCGAGTTTGCCTACGGCGGACACCCATTTCCTTTTACGGGGGTCTTCGAGATCTCTCCGCGGGACCACGACGAGCTGGGCGACCAGTTTCAGTTCCGCCAGAGCATCCAGATCGGCTGCACCGACTTCACATACGAGGAGGTGCGCCGGATTGTCGAGGAGCTGGGCAATCAGTTTCGGGGCGATCGCTACCATCTCATGAACAACAACTGCAACCACTTCTCGGGCTCATTAACTCAGGTGAGAATGGGGTTAGTCTTTCACACATTTTAGCAGTGCCCCTTGATATTTCGACCAAACCCTTTGGGGGCATGTTGGCAATAATTAAGGTGTGCCTGCCAAAATGTGTGACGTGAATCGATTTCCAGATACCGCGAATTACGGCCTAAATAAGTTGACATGAATCATTGATATCATATAAGCCATACGTCGTGTTCTCGATTGCTTTTCCGTTAAGAGTTCCCTGAGATTTGGCATATTTTGTTCAAAAGGCATTAATGAGTCCCATAAATAACAATTTTTTTGGTTCACACAATCTGGTAAACACAATCTGGTAAACAAATTAGAACTTTGGAATACATTTCATTCTAAGTAATTGCATTTTATTCAAGAGAAATGCAAGCTTTTTGTATTTGTCAATATCAAAAGGTTATTCGAGTGTCGCAATTGAGTTACACAAGGCTTGGACTTGACTCTTTTCTTTTTTGTATGCTTCTAGATACTTTGCGGCCAAGAAATACCCAGCTGGGTCAATCGTTTAGCGCATTTCAGCTCCTGTGTGCCATTTCTACAAAGATGTTTGCCAAAGTAAGCTTTAATGTAATTACGATTGATTTAATGACTTAATGTAATTATCATTTGTGTTGTTTGTTTATTCTTACCGGTTTTTAGAGAATGGCTGACACCCAATGCCTTGCAGCAGAGCATTACAACAATCCAAGAGCGCGAAGACTCGGATACCAGTCCCCTTTGAGACATTACCTGACCGAGAATATGTCACTTGCAGACAGCAGCAAACAAGCGATCATAATTCACATCCAAAAGCAGTTGTAAGAGCAAAATTGTTAAGTTACTCACGTCGTCGTCGTCGCATCAACAACAACAATTTCCAAGCCAACAAAACGCCCCAAAACAAACAAAAAGCAACAACTATTATTAATAGACTTAAATTAGGCGATATACAAACATACTTACATAGACATACCTACATAGAGACAAACATACATTGCGAGGTGACTAAATTATTGGCTATTGTAATTTGTATTTGTAATATGACTATTCAGAATTAAGATATTATTAAGTGGCCGGTAAATTTAAGTAGCAGAGAGCGCCGTCAGTGCAGCAGTGTCATTTATAGAATTTTAAATTAACTACGAAGACATCGAGAAATCATCATTAGGCACTTGCTAAAGATAATGTACTAAACAAAAAACCCACAGACATATTTGGTGAAACGATATCAAAATGTTGCCCAATTTAATTGTTTACTTCTCTGTCAGCGGTGGGAATGTGAGTGTTTTATTTTTTAATTCCCACCCACCAAGCATCTGAGCTCGATTATTGAGATGATTTCCTGGTTGATTTCTTTTACAATTACATTTTACCGAGTTTATAAGCCGCATGTCTATCAAAACACCAAAATGATCTGTTATCAATAAATATAATATATATATACTTGACATTCTGATATTTACACATGCATAAATACTATTATTAAACATTTTTAAAGAAAACAAATATATTTTGATCGAAAACATTCGGTTTGACTTTTCATTTGCGAACGGGGGGTTGCATGAAAACATTATTACATGTAATTAATTATGTGTCTTTTTGCTTTCTTTATAGGGTTTTTATTTTGAAAAGTATCAAGAATAGAGATTAGAATAAAAACTAGTATTTATTCTATATATACTTATAGCGCTTCACCTCTTTTTGATTTCCATTTTGAAAGTTCACGATCTCCCAATTAAAGTCACAAATCGCACTTGTAAATTTGTATATATGTATATTTAAAACCCTCTGGATTAGATTCAATTGGAAATAAATTAACTTTTGCTTTAGTTTAGAACATGATTAAGAATAATATAAATATATTAGGATTAACTATGTACAATGGGAACACTTCGGGGCGGCGGCTCAAACCAGACTCGAGACGTTATTGTAAAGCCCAACAGCAGACACTTCATCAAGATCAATATCGTTCGATATCGGTAACCTGGGATGCACCCAGTTTCTAGGATGTGGATTAGGGTGGGGCGGGACAACGGCCTGGAAGGTGGGCGACTGAATGGGCCTGTAAGCGGACGCACCCTGCCTCAGGGCAGGATGTGGTTGAACTCGTTCGACGTAAAGGTCTTCGTTGCGATAGAAATTCGCATTTGGTGCGTAGCCGGTGTGGATCCTTCTCTGCGGGTTGGGTGCATTCTGCGGGCGGTGGGGCAATTCATGGAAGTAGGCATCTTTGGGTATTTGCCTCTCGGGCAGGCCGAACTGCGGAGCTGCAACACTCCTTTGCGGAACACTGTAGGTGGGAGAGGGATTGGAGGAGGTGGCCTCTATGTGCTGAAAGTTATTATTGTTTAAGCGGGAAAGGGATCTTGCTGCAATCACATTGGCCACTTGGGAGTCCTGTCGATTGGAATCAATAGTGTTCTGCAGTTGGGCCACCATATCGCGCACTTGACCGACATTCGGTTTTTTCAGACACTTGATCTCACTGTTCCTGATTTCTACCTTGTTCCCGAGCTCGCTGCCATTGGGTCTCACCTCCGTTTCTTCGACGTACTCCATGATTGGGTTCGAGTAGAAGAGGTTCGACATGACGGGATAGTTGTCATCCAAGCACAGTGGCTGCCGCTTCATCAGGTTGGAGATACCAGCTGCCTCGCAGGCCTGCTGCTCCTTGTAGAGCAACTTGTCGCCGCCCATTCTTTCGGCGCTTTCATTAACGGCCGCCTCCTCCTTTCCGAGATCCGCAAAGGAGGCATCTTTCCTCAGGGCTTTTATCACGGAGTTCAGCATGTTCTCTCCCCTGCCAATGCGTTGATAGTACTTGTGGTAGTCCGGCGGAGGATTGCTGCCAGTGGGCGAATTTTCCCAGTCCCAGCTGTTTGAGTTCTGAGAGGGATTGGAGGTCTCGCTTGAGTTTGGGTACCGCCGCATTACATGGGTGTACTCATCGAAGTTTGGACTATTTACGCTCTCTTTGTCTTCCCGGAGTTGAGCGGACTCGACTCTGGGGTGGGATTTATAGGGTGGGGATAGAGATGATAACTGGTGCTTATTCTCTTGCTCACTGTCCCTTTCCATTATCAAGGTGGTTTTCTCCAGGAGCACGCCCAGACGTTCGGATACCTTCAGGAAATCTAGCTTTAGCTCATCCAGTTTCGTGTGCTCCAGTTGGTGAACTTGATCCTGCGGCTCTTCCTGTGCCTGAACCGCCTCCTCATCCTCTTCTTCCTCCTCCTCCTCCTCCTCTTGGCCAGGTTCATTGGAATCCACTTCGCTGTCGCTCTCCAGGGGAGGCTCTGCGGATCGGTGTACTATGGCCTCCACTGCCTGATCTTCGAGTATATCCACACTTCGCGAGTTGGTAAGCCTTCCGCCTTCGTGGTTGCTTTCCAAAAGCTCCAAACTGCGACACCTGGAGAGTGTCCTTTCGATTCGCGAGCTTCTATTTTGCTGATCAAATGTGGATCGCATGGGTTCGCCGCGGCGCAGGAACTCACTGAGATGCTGGCGCTTGCTCTCGCATCTGAGCCGATCCTCAATCATCGTCCTGGTGAGCTGTTCTATCTGATCGTTGGTCTTGATGGCCAATGCTTGAACCTTGTGACCCAGTCGCTCCTTGGTCTTGTGCACATACTTCTTCAGGCTTTTCCGATTGCAATTCAGCTTGTTTTCGATGTGTCGGAAGAAGGGCCCGCAATAACAGGTGTTGCCCACACTGACGGGACCCTTGTGGATGTGTCCGGCCAAGTCCAGGAAGTACTGTTCTCCCGCCTTTAGCGGCTCCTTGGGCAGAGTTTCCAGTTTGGGCGAGGGAAAGGCACGAGGATCGGGAAAGTAGTGACACCCGTAAGGCGACCAGTTGATCCCCTTGTCCACCACATCCCTGTCACGATCCTTCTCTTTGTCCGATCTGCTGCCACCGCCCTCTTTATGCTTCTCCTTCCGGTTCCGTATCTTCTTGGGCGTGTTCAGGATCTCGATGATTTCGCGATAGTTCTTTCTGATTGCAATATGCATGGGGCAGTCGCCTTGGGCGTTCTTGATCCCCAGACGAGCATCCGCCTCGAGCAGTATTCTCGTAAGTTTCCTGCGACCCATGGCGCAGGTGATATGCAGGGCGGTGTCCCCGTTCAGGTTCGTTTTATTGGGGTCACAAAGAGCGGAGAGCAGGATTCTAGTAACGCCGGCATGTCCGTATCTACAGGCAGTGTGGAGCGGTGTATCGCCATACTGTAAAGGGCATGGTTAAGGCACAAATTAAGAACGTTGTAAGTTATCTATATGTTGCCACTCACATTGTTCTGCACATCGGGATCTGCGCCCGCCAATAGCAGCTCCCTGGAGCTCTGATTGTGGCCATTTTGCGCGGCCAAATGTAGGGCGGACAACCCCTCGTTGTTGGCAATACTCAGAGCACTGTTGTGTAGGGCTTCGATGGTCTGATGTGCCACCTTGGCCCTGCCCTTGTTTTTTTCCTTTTCTTTGTCCTTATCCTTGTCCCTATGACCTCGTATCGCCTTGCCACCCGCTCCCGGAGCAGTGGGTGGCGGTGGTGGCGCACAGATCAGTTTCACGCAGCGACTGAACCCCCGACTGGCGGCCTCGTGGAGCGGGGTGTTGCCTTGCAGTGATTCCTTTGCCAGGCGGTCAGCATTGCTGAACAGGAGTCCCTCCACCCGCCGATCATCCCCGGCGACCACGGCCTCGTACAGAGAAGTCCAGTTGCTGGAATCGGGCTGCATTTGGGGGGATATGGGAATTAAATCAGGGGATACATTTGGGATTGAAATACAAAAAAACTCACCCCAGAGATGGCATTTGGCAGGGCTTCCTGTTTTGGAATGCGGGAGGATCCATGCTGCATTGTCTGTAGATGATATTGAAGCCATATAAAACAAAATAAAAATAAAATTAAATTAATATATAAATTCTTACAAACCGATTTATTTATTAGTGATCTAGGGTATAATATTCAACTTTTGAAATCAACCAGAAAAGAGATGTTATAAGCCTAAGCATTTTCTTTCTTTGGTTCACTTTATTTAGTCTGTGATAATCTTAATTTATTTAAATTATAAACACATATAAATTGAAAATTTCAATTCCATGTATCAAAATGAACCCCTGAAAAGATCAACCTCAACATGGAAATCAAAGCGATTGATCTTTGATCCTATTTTTCACTGTGTATGCGCATGTATGTATGTGCCTCACGTAATGGCGTACCACGTAGTAATTGCAATTACAAACCCAAGTGCGAGGTTGACAAAACGATTTTAAAATAAGAGGTTTTGAAATTTCGAAAATACCATCCTTGTCGCACGAACAATATCTTTACACTTTGGTATTATAAAGACATCTCTGTGTTACCAATATATTTGGCAAATACTCTGAAAATTCCTAGGCCTAAAACCCAGCTTTGAACTGCGCTTTGGTTTTCTATTTTACCAACTTACGTTTCACTCAAGTTCAATTTCCGATTTCGCGCCCTTATTTACACATGCTTTTGGCCACTCCCACGTATTTACACATGCTTATAGACATTACAGTTAATCCAATGCCCGGATTTTGCACTATTTTGCCTACGTTTGTGGAACGCCCAGAGTTAATTTGGCTTCAAGCCAGGCCTAAAAGAGACTAAAAGAAGAAAGCCAATCACAGGTAAAAATTGGCAACAGGTTTTGAGCGGGACTGCCAACTTGTGGTTTAAATTGAGTGCGGCCACACTAGGGCCTAATTATGCATTAATTATAAAATAAATAATATATTATTTGCAACTAAAAAGAAAGCATTTATTTAAGATGAATTGACAAATACTCAAATTAAAAAAAAAATATTATTCGTTTAAGTACCGAGGTTTTAAACCTGAAAATACATTGGAACAGCAAAGTTTCAAACCTTTACACATCTTGACATTTCTAAGCGAATTCGAATTTGGGCGAAAAAAACTTGGTCACACTGCAACTGCTATTTTTGATTGTCATTCGCATTTTGCATTAAACCTTACATTCGCTTAAAAAACACTTAATAATGGCATTGGCTGAGATCTGCAAAATATCCAATGCTTCGTATATGAAGCCGGCCGCCTGGACTTCGGCGGATGTGGAGGACGACCTAAGGGGTCTGACCTGCAACCTGGCCAACCCCTACACCCTGGCTGCTCCACCATTCGAAAATGTAAGCTGGGAATTTATTCAAATCTCGAGTATTTTACTATTTTTCTTATTGTCCTGGTAGCCCATGCACAACCTCAACCAGATCCAGGCCAATGCCGATAAGACCGGCATCAAAATCGATTTTGACCACGGCACCACAACGCTGGGCTTCAAGTTCAAGGGAGGCGTCATTTTGGCCGTGGATTCTCGTGCCACTGGCGGCCAGTACATTGGCTCGCAGTCAATGAAAAAAATCGTGGAGATTAATGACTTTCTGCTGGGCACTCTGGCTGGCGGCGCCGCCGATTGTGTGTACTGGGATCGCGTGCTTTCTAAGGAGTGCCGCCTGCACGAGCTACGCAACAAGGAGCGCATTTCGGTGGCGGCAGCCAGCAAGATCATGGCCAACATTGCCCACGAGTACAAGGGCATGGGTCTGAGCATGGGCATGATGCTGGCTGGCTACGACAAGCGTGGTCCCGGTTTGTACTATGTGGATTCGGAGGGCTCCCGCACACCCGGTAACCTCTTCTCCGTGGGCAGTGGGTCGCTGTTCGCCTACGGTGTCCTCGATTCGGGATACCACTGGGATCTGGAGGATGAGGCGGCCCAGGAGCTGGGACGCCGTGCCATTTACCACGCCACCTTCCGGGATGCCTACTCTGGCGGAATCATTCGTGTTTACCACATGACCCAGAATGGTTGGGTCAACGTTTCTAACACAGACTGCATGGAGCTGCACTACAAGTACAAGGAAGAGAAGGAGAAGCAGGCTCACTAGAGCGTAGATTCGGGTGTTAAGTGAATATAAGATATTCTGTCGAACGAAGTTTGTATTTCTTGGAATAAATAAACATGCTTTTGTGGTAATATATTCAATGTAGTCTAGGTATCTAGTTTTTTCTTCTCCGCTTCTTTTTGCTGAGAGATCATCAGCAGTGTTTCCTTATGCCGCATCTCCGCCCGTTTTTGCTTAAAGGTTCGCTTTCCGCCCTTGGTCTCTATTCGCTTTCTTCGCAAGACTCCGCGCTCCATGGCTTGGCGCAGCTCCTGCTCCACGTCCAGGTCGTTGGGTATGTGAATCTGGCGAATCATGCGGTTGCGCACCATGAAGTGATCAAAGAGATGTTGTCCTCCGTTGCGATCAATGAAGACCACTTTCGAGAGCTCGCAGGTCATGTGTCCATCGGCGGTGTCTATGATCCCGGCCACTGACGTCTCATTATGCAGGTCTATGAGCACGGAGTGGCCCTGGAGCATTACGGGCCAGCAATTCAAGGTGTTGGACACCAGATACTTCTCTCGGGCGCTAAACTGTTGCATTTTATCCCGGAATGATTTCTAGTCTTTTCAGCTCCGAGAAGCAGGGCTGCCAACTCGTGTTTAATATACAAAAGAATAGGTACGCTTTAAGGTCTTAAATTAAAAATATATAAAAACTAAATTTAAATTGCGGTTCCGCGCTCCAGGTTCTGCTTGATCTCTGCCGTGTGCTCGCCGTAAAAGCGATCCAGCTTCTTGTTAAACTTGGAGTTGCGTTCGTTGATGAAGTCCACGTCCGCATCGTCGTTGTAGATGCGCCTGCGAGAGTACTTCTTGCGGCGCTCTATCTGCTGCTCCAGGTCGTTAACCATTTTGTTGATGGCGCCCGGCGTGTCTTTTGTCCGGGCATGCAAAGTTGTGTGCGGACCGCCGTAGAAGGCATCGCCCAGTTCCTCCTTCTGCCTCTCATACTTTTCCATATCGCGGGGTGGCATTGATTTGACCAATCTGGTGTATTGCCTGGCTGTCTGGGCCTCGTAGGTGGAAAAACCAAGATCTGGGTTGTCCTTGCGTTTCTTTTTTTTCTCGATGCGTTCGGCGTCCACAGCAGACACCTCGAGGAGCTTGAGGCGCTCATAGTCCTTGCCAGCCGCCTGTGCATCGGCGCGCGCTTTGTCATCTGCTAGAATCCACTCGGCCTGGCGCTTGCGGGCCTCCCAGTTCTTCGGCAGCTTCTTGCGGGCGTCTTCTGCCACTACTTCCTGGTGGTTGTCCGTTCGTGCTTCTTGGCGCTTTTTGTGCAGGTCCAGCAGGCGCGCCTTTCGCTCCGCCAGCTTCTCCGCAGCAGATTTGGTTGTGTCCATAGCTGATTTGATAGGAAAGCTTTATTTGTATTATTTACTGAATTTGATGAAATTTGCGTTGTTTATCTGCGTTAGTTTTATTTTTATTTATAAACCGCGTTGGCAGGTCCATGTAAATCAGCTGTTTTAGTATTTTAGTGTGCCCAGCGGAACAGAATGATAAAAAATATTAGAAGATATAAAATAAAAAAATATCGCAACATCGATCATATTGACAAAAAATATCGATGTATTCATGACTTCAACACGTGCGGACGTTTTTGTTTACATTTTTCAGCAGGAGTAAAACCAGCCGCAAAATGAAGTTTTCCTACAGAGTGAGTCGTTTCCAGGATCTGTTTAAGCATTTACTAATTATAATTGAGCATTGCAGTTTTCCAACTTGTTGGGCACAATATATCGGAATGGAAATCTGGTGTTCACGCCGGATGGAAATTCAGTTATTAGTCCGGTGGGCAACAGGATAACCGTCTACGATTTGAAAAAGTGAGTGACATACAAAATTCCAAGGATTCATTAAACATTATCTTTGTTTTTATAGCAACAAATCCCGCACTTTGTCCTTGGAATCGAAGTATAACTACACGAGTCTGGCTCTTTCGCCAGATGGGAGCTTGCTGATCGCAGTCAACGAGAGAGGAGAGGCGCAGCTCATAAGCATGATGTCCTGTACAGTGATACATCGGCACAAGTTCCAGACCGGCGTCCAATGCGTCTGCTTCAGCCCCAATGGGGAATACTTCGCCGTGGCCGTGCTGAATGTCGTCTTGGTTTTCTGCGCTCCGGGTGAAATCACTGGAGAGTACAATCCCTTCGTGCTGAGACGGAAGTTTCTGGGCGGCTATGACGATATCACCTGGTTGGACTGGTCCTCCGACTCGCGACTGCTGGCCATTGGTTGTCGTGACAGCTCCACCAAGATCTGCGCTGTTAATTATACGAAGAACTTTCGGACTTACAACCTGAGTGGTCACACGGACTCCATAGTCTCCTGCTTCTTCGAGGCGAACAGCCTGCACTTGAACACCATCAGCCGCAATGGACAACTGTGCTTGTGGGAGTGCAGTTTGGCTCCATCGGACCTTGAGGACGCGAAGCGGCCAGCGTTGGCTCCGCCGGAAAGCAAGCGAGGCAAGAAATCGGCTCACTCTGATAATGAATCCGAGGACGACGTTGATAACACACTGGAAAAACAATCTGTGAGGGAGGAATTCTTAGAATCAACACCTGGGGCTGAGGATGTCAATGAAATCAAAGATGAGGCTGAAAAGAAGCGGCATCCGTTCTTCTACAAAAAACTAGCCCGCCATTATCTGGCCGATGAGCCGCGCAAGGAGCAGAGAGACGTGCAACTGACGGCAGCCAACTACAACCAGCGCACAAAGGTACTAGTGGTGGCCTTCAGCAATGGAGGCTTCTACCTGTACGAGTTGCCTGACGTCAACATGATTCACTCGCTAAGCATCTCAGATTATCCCATCTCTGCGGCTATCTTCAATTGCACCGGCGACTGGGTGGCCTTGGCATCGCGTGAGATCGGTCAGCTGCTGGTGTGGGAGTGGCAAAGCGAGCAGTACATCATGAAGCAGCAGGGACACAGCAGCGAGATGAGCTGCATAGCCTACTCTCCGGATGGTCAGATCATAGCCACCGGTGGCGAGGACTCCAAGGTGAAGCTGTGGAACACCCAGAGCAGCTTCTGCTTTGTTACCTTTAGCGAGCACACCAGTGGTGTGACTGGCATTCAGTTTAGCAAGAACAAGAAATTTCTGGTCAGCAGTTCCCTAGACGGTACAGTGCGTGCCTTTGATATTAACAGGTAAGCTATATTACACATTGTACTGGAACTATTTTATTAATCTCTGAATGTCCTTACAGATACCGCAACTTTAGGACCTTCACATCGCCCAATCCAGCTCAGTTCTCCTGTGTGGCTGTAGATCACTCGGGTGAGCTTGTGGTGGCAGGTGGCCAGGATGTATTCGATATATTCCTTTGGTCGGTGAAGACGGGTAAGCTGCTGGAGATAATTAGTGGCCACGAGGGACCCGTAGTCTCGCTGGCCTTTTCCCCAGTGGCCACTTCTTCCACCTTGGTGTCCGGTTCATGGGATAAAACTGTGAAGATTTGGAACTGCCTAGAAAGCAGCAGTGAGCATGAGTCTATTGATGCTATTTCGGATGTAACTAGCGTGGCTTTTAGTCCAAGTGGCGAGGAGGTTAGTATATATGATTTAGTTTATGCAGAAAATATTAATATACATCTTTTATTTGTTAGATTGCCGTGGCCACTCTGAGTGGAAATATAACCATTTTCGATGTCAAGTCTGCTACCCAGAGTACAACGATAGAGGGACGTAATGATCTAAGTGGAGGGCGCCTGGAAACTGACATAATAACAGCAAAAAAGAATGCCCAAGCCAAGTGAGTAGCTATCTAAAAAGATATATATTAAGAACAAGCTCTTGTGCTTGCATTCTGGAGATAGCGTGCAAAACACACACATTTTTAGCCTACACTTTTATAGTACAAATTATCTTTTGTAGTTACTTCTCCACCATTGAGTACTCCGCGGATGGAGAGTGCATCTTAGCTGCTGGCAAGTCGCCCAACATTTGTATATATAATGTAAGAGAGGCTATTCTTTTGAAGAAATTCCAAATCACGCAGAATCACAGCCTTGATGGGCTAACTGTAAGTTATTAAAAACAAGAAAACTAGGTTCCCTAAAGTATCCTCTAAATGTTTTGACAGGACTTTATCAGTCGCAAACATATGACTGAATTTGGCAATATGGCTCTGGTGGAAGAGCGCGAAGAGTTGGAGGGCGGTAAGGTGGCTATTCGATTGCCAGGCGTACGTAGCGGTGACATGTCCTCCAGGCGTTTCCACCAAGAGGTTCGAGTATTTGCCGTACGATTTTCACCCACGGGCCAGGCCTTTGCAGCTGCAGGAACCGAAGGACTTTGCATATACGCTCTGGATAAAGGTATGAGATTATAATTATAAATAAAAGCTAGTCTTTAATTTAATTCCACACTCTTAATCCTTAGGAGTTGTGTTTGATCCGTTTGACCTCTCTCTGGAAGTCACGCCGAAGGCAGTGCACGAATCCCTTAAGAAGCAGGATTTCACAAAAGCGCTGGTTATGTCCCTGAAGCTAAACGAACCCAACTTGATTGCCCTAGTGCTGGAGCAAGTGCCGTATAGGGACAGTGAGTAATAAGCCAAATCGCCGCATGGCCTTGTCAGTTTGGGCAACCTTCAGCCTTCTGTCGCATCTAAAAATAGCTGCGACCCACTCCGACATTGCCCTGCGACTCCATTTTCCGATCGAATGTGCAAATTTTCACTTTTGCTGTGTTAATAAACAGTTTCAAGGTCCGCGCCCCAGTCCTTGCTCACCTTGGTTAATAACCCCTTCCAATACCACTGGCACATATGCAAATGGCTCCGTCAGCACGTGTCTGCATTGTATGCACACTAACTCCTCCTCGCTTTTTCTCATATAGTTGAACTGGTCTGTGCGGATCTGTCACCGGAGTTTGCCCAACGATTGCTGCAACAATTGGCCCGCCAGCTCCAGGCCACACCACACATTGAGTTCTATTTGCAGTGGAGCTGCTGCCTATTGACCAAGCACGGCAACCAGGACGGCGTCTTTCAGCACACGGGATTGCTGGCCCTTCACGAAGTGCTCTCGAGGAAGTACGAAGCTCTCAATAAGATGTACGTATCTAAAGGTGATTTACCAAATAAATTGTGGGTAAACCGCTATCGTATGTATTCCATTACAGATGCGACTACAATAAATACACACTAAGAGTGCTCCTGGACAGAGCCAATAAGCTCGAGCAGTCAAATGAGGGCACTACTAAACCTCTTGCGGAAGATAGTGATGAGGAAATGCTGCTCATTAGGTCAAAGGATGACGATGACGATCAGTCGCAGTTTAGCGATGAGGAGGAAAGTGACAGTGATTCTGAGTAAATAGAATAAACAAGAAATAGAATAAAAAATCTAAAGACCTCGTGTTAATTCTGTAACAAAGACCCACAAGTTATTTTATTTTGATAGATGTACGCGCCTTGTCTTTTATTAAGAATAAAGTAAAAGCTTTTTTTAATAACAATTATTAGAGGGTACAACCACAGTCCTTATAATAACAAGATATATAACTCCCATACATTTGAATATGTCATATGCAAGAGACAAAAGTACAGAGCGTACAAATCTAAAAAATAGAGTGTGCTTCCGTTTGTGAGTATCCTTGAATGCTTGAGAATAATTGTGCACATATTCGGCTACCGGCTGACTCTATATATACCAAAATTCTACAAATCTAGAGCCAGATTATAAATTCCAGTGCAAACAAATCGTATGGCGTTATCAATATGTTTATTATAAGGTCTTTGGTTCAACATAACTTAGAAGATGGAAAGAATATAGATATATTTATATAAACTTAACTTGATATTTAGCAGATACAATCCTAGATAAATATATATATATATATATATATATATATATATATATATATATGCATGTGGTATATATAGTTGTGAAGTAATGTATTTACATAGTGTCTGTAGTTTCATATCAAATATAAACTCGATTTAGCTTAACAGATATATGTATGTATATATTGTTTATTGTTTCTAAACTCCTGCCTGCCGTGCGTTTGGACTACAGGTAGTCGATTTTAGTTTGTTTTGTTAGATGTAAAAGCCACAGCTCTAATGTTTGCATTAAAATGCGCTATAATGGATAAATAATTCTAAATATTTATGTAAAAATCTCTAAAAGCATTCACTGTTTCGTTTAATTTATGTACAATCCAAATATATCCTTAGAGGCCACTTTTATTATCTCCGTAAAGCACCAATTCCATATCTCTTGGCTGATTTGCTTAAGCCTAATACAAAAAGAGTTTTAATTAAACGATCCTTGCGTGTATGTAGCTCGTAGTTTTTAGAGTGTGTATACTTTGAAAGTAGGGACAACCCTTTCGATTTTGGGGGTATTGTCACTAGCACATATCCGCGGCCTTAGCAAGGCGAACTTAATTAGAACTAGGAGAATTCCGGTGTCTAGAGCAGCTGAAGCTTGCGTGGTGTCTGAGGGATATAATAAAAACCTTTGTTGGTGGCATAGATTTAAAACATTGGGAGGGAGGAGCTGCATCCCGGTATTGTGAACAAAGCAAATACTCTCAATTGAACGATACACATTCCTCGTGAGCAAATAGTTGACAACTAAGCTATATATTCCGTACATTTGATGTACCCGGTCTAGATGTAGTATATTATACCTAAGCACACACTTATGTAGGTAACTGTAGAATTTCCTTCTTGGTTGGTTGGTTGGTTGTTGTACTTCGATGACAGGGGAGCGTGATGCTCTCTCGCAGCTATTTGTTAAGGTCCAGAGACTAGGGCGGGGTCTCTGGTATATTGCACTTGGGGCTCTAAGTCCAGTCAAGGTATTTTGTTCCATCATCATTTGAATTGCGTCCATTCGTGTTTTTAACGGAGTCCAGAAATGTGAATTCTGGAACTCCCTAAATCCTAGGACGACTTCATCAGCAATATCGGCCAGTACAGAAGTACGAACACAAAGAATAAGATGGGGAATACGGCACGGGACACCTTGTCGATCTCCCGCCACATTATCTTCTCGACGCCCGTATCCGTGTCCGTCCAGGCTACCGACAGGAGACTCTGCCTCCGGGCCGGCTTGGGAGGTCCTCCGTTTCCCTGCAGCGAGGTCTACATGGGATCAAAACAAAAGAAACATAATTGATACTTATAATTACGAATTTTAATACAACCATTTAAATTCAATATTCCACTTTCTTCGTGTGGATATGACAGGTGCACCGGTTCTCCCGGTCTAACTAGTTAATGGCCTTACCTGTCCAGGCGTCGTGGGCGTTTGGGTGGCTTTCCGCGAGCGCACTGCACCTCCCTCCCAGCTGGCCACCGTCGCGCACTGACCCTTCTCCATATTGCTGATGCGCTACGCGAATCGGAACGACAAGAGAGGGTGGCATTACTTATTAAAGCGATATTCCCACAGCTGCCTTACCATTGGCAGTACCTTGGGTATGCGGTTCACCTGGTACTGATACTGAACATCCAGCACTTTCACTACAACGAACTCGGCCAGAGCGGCGAACACAGATAGCATGCAGCCGGCCATCCACAGGTCCAGGGCCTGAAACGAAGTAACTCTTAGAGTTCTATCCACGTTTACGAAATGTTAAGGAAGTTTAGTAGAATATGAGTGTGGGCAAACTGAATATTAAGAATGTGATTTATTACTTATTGGTAGATATATACAAAAATATGTATCTATTGTTCAACTGATCTTTGAGAAATGTGCATACTACAAATAGAATATGTTTAATGCAGACTCACCTTGACATAGGCCACTGGTGGAATGTCAGCACCCGTGAACATGGTGACCAGGGTTAGCATACAAGTCACCAAGAGCGTGACCCTTCCTGGAATTGCGTCCAGTCCCAGCCAAAAGCTAAACCAGGACAGCATGACCACCAGAGATGAGGGGGCAAATGTTTGGATCAGATGGTGGCCTATCTGACGTTCGAAGCGGAAGTACACTGTGAGGCGGGAGAAGTTTCCAACCTTCTCTGGCATGTAACCGTCGCTCTCCTCTAGCTCCAGCGGCTGGCCTAGATTGTACTGCAGCAGCTTAAGCTCCGGATTGAGGGTAACACCGGAGTCCGACCAGCGCAGCTTCACCTTTTGATTGTTCGAGGAGACTTTGCAAGGAAAAGACGCCCAGTTAGATCCTAAATACTGAGGCGTGAGGACCACTTACAGCTCTCGATATAGATGGGACACACCTGGATGTCCATGGGGTACAACTGGAACTCCATCTGGCAGGCGATGATTGCGTGCATGCGGGCCGCATAGCGCACCGTCTTGTTCTTGTAGAGCGTCACCGACGTGAACTTGTGGGTCAGTGTCGCTATTTCTACAACGAAAAGACATCGAGAAGACGTTGCAGAGATGCGGAACAAATGGGTTTCGATTAGAACTATGGCATTGGCATCGATAGACTCATTTCTTGCTCATTTCGGTGGTGGTTCAGTGGAGTGGAGTGTGCCGTGATGGCGATCGTGATTGTGATCACCTTATGTCTAGTTACAAGCGCGACATTCTACTGACGGCGAGGTGAGAGGGATAAATTATGGAATCTACTTAACTCGATTTAATGGGAAATATTACTTAAAACACGATCATGAGAAGAACTTAAATTAAAGGATAATTTATCTTATAAATAATAATCTGAGACTACAACAAGGTTAACAGGGCTGCCAAGGAAATCGCTGTACTTGATAATTCTTATAGAGTTTGCTTTAAAATTTGTTCAATCTTTACAATATAGTCTATAGTGTTCAACAGCAATTTCGTACGCATAACTGGATTAATTTTAATGATATGTTAGTTGAATTAATAACTACATAAATGTATATTTACATCAAAAGCTCAAACAACCCCTAATAACAAATAAAATTGCAATAAAGGTTAATCAGAATGACCACAATTTGTTGAAATGAAAATAGTTTTGTTCAAATCTTCGTGTCAAGCTAATATAAATAAAGCCTGACCGATTTGCAATCGATTTTTGTTTCGTAAATGTTGACAATGGCAACCAAAAATGGGAAAAAAGAATGAAAAAAAGAACGACTTCCCGGCGAGGTGCACACGTGATTCCAAGGTGAGATCTTATCCTGGACAACACCGAGTGCAACTGCAAATTTTCGTTTTTGGATTTCAGCGTGGGCGATGATGGCTAGGAGTAGTAGTTTGGAGGGCAGAGGTGCAGCAGAGTTTGGAGTGTCCCACTTGACCATGGCATTGGAACCGAAATGGGTTTCGTGCGTGTAATGAGGGCCTCGAGTGGGCGGGTCTGCTGGGTGTCAGTGTGTGGGGGAAACTATAAAAAAATATCTGAAATGTACACAGAATTGCGGACCGCTAGGAATGGCGCGATATGGATATGAATGTATATTTACACACAGAGAGAACTATATATATATGACAGGGTGTTTTCAGTTTTTATTTCCAAATCAGCCCAGTATAAGTAGTCGTTTATAGATAGATCGATTTCGAAGAATGCTGAATATACAATTTACAGGGGATTTACAGGAGATACATTGGATGGAAGGAAGAGGTATGCGCTGATTCTGATATCGAGTTCGATGGATTTTTGGCAGTAAAACACAAAAGTGGCAAAACACACAGATCTAGAGTCATTTTTGTTTTATATACTTAAATCTTTGTCTAGATGAAAGTTTTTCGAATCTCTTTCACCCTTATTGCGTAGCAGAGAAGTGGACGCAACATATGGACTTCCGTATCCTATGCAGGAGTATCGGGGAGTATTGTTAGTTCGGGTTCGGTATCGTTTTGGTTTGTTAATCGGTAGTAGAGAAACCGTTGGATTAGTTTTGGGAAAACAAACAAACAAACAAAAGAAAACAAAGTAATTCGTTACTATATACAAACGGTCCAGAGTTAGTTAGAGAGTTTAGATTAGACACATAAGTGATGAGCTCAGCCCGACAAAGTGCATGAATCCACGTTGACGTCGACAACAACACACACACAGACTACACACTCGAACATGAAGCTTTAGCTTACGGGCTAGGCTATATCATTCTATATCGCTATATGTGTACAGCACTGTGTCAGACGTACCGGCAATCTTGGAATTGAGAAAGTACGGATCCGGCTGCCAAAAATTCTCAAAGACCTCTGGAAGCAGTGTCACGTAGTCGTCGCCCTCCTCGAAGATGTCGTCGGGTATCTCCAGACGGGACTCCAGCCAGCGCTGGTGTATAAACATGTCTACTCTGAAAATGTACACAGTATTGCTATGTGCTCCGTTACATGGGCTCCGTCACCGGTGGCTAACTCTCTACCTCGATCTCTTCGGATTACAGACTAGAGCTCTACTTACCTAAAGTCCATATCCTCTACGTTAATTGAGTTAATATCTACAACGAATATGCTAAAGTCTACTATCACTGGGGAGCCCTTCTTCGAGGGCGGTCGTATCTCTGCAAAACAAAAAAAGAAGGAAATCAAAATGCGATCTCCGGTTAGTTCACACTTTGGTCATGAAATGCCCAGGAACAACACCTGCCCCCGTAAATTCCCCAAAATTGGGGGGAAGCCTTTCGTGCGCGAATTCATTTTGCCACCGTCTGGACGGTGTGAGCACCTTCAAAAAAAGGAAACACACATCACCTGTGAACTCCTACTCCTACTCTGACTCCTTGGCGGTTTCCCGCCAAGTTCACGGACAAACTGTGGTCCTAATGCGTATTACACAACTGCGCGAAAATCGATTGGAATAAAGGTGTTGATTAGCTCCAACAATTGCCTCAAATGAAAAGTACACGCCTCTGGGTAATTTTGGTAAATTATTCATACAGCTTTCAAGGTGGAAGTCTACTGGAGAAGCAGTTATTGCAACTATTGCGTAAGTAGAAAGTTTGCATTTCGCTTCTAGTGGCTTTCTCAAGAGAATCCCTTACATTTAAAATATGGATTGGACATATTTTCATACAAACAGAAAGTTGTTATAGGCTTCCAAGAATTTTAAGTACATTTGCTTAACCTTTCAACTTAAACTCTTATATATTATATGCATAAATAGCATGTACAAATTAGTTATAATTAGCTTTAAGGTTTAAACCCCTTTTTTGTTTACATTAAAATTATTTTCAGTCTATCCAGTTTTACATTCTAATTATTGTTTGTTAGTAATTATAAGGCGTAAAATTGGTTCCAATGGTAGGGAGTTACGTATGTTATTGGTAATTGATGGGTTAATCCCCTGACACGAACTATATATGTAACTCATTTATAAAGGAAACAGTTTAAGCAATATGTACACTTAATAAAAGCTACTTAAGTGTAAAAGTTCCCTTATCTCATCAACGATCTCCCCCACAAGAAATGTTTTCTACATAGTAATGACTATTAAACTATTAAACTCCCATAAAGAGAGATAAAACCTAACCTTAGCCACATAAAACCCATTCAAGAAATAGTAATACCTTTTTAATTTTCGTTTTCCCCTCGTAGATCCTTAGATTAACTTGAATTCTTCCGTAACTTCTGCACAGCCAATTGTCGCCGGTAAATGTTATTTTGATTTTAATCGATCGTAATTGCGGATGACGTCAAAGCCAGCCCCCAGGTGAGACTGGAAGGAGACTGGGGCTACCCCGTAACCGTAACCCAGTATGCGCCATAGACGATGGGGCCCTGAAATTCGCCGCGTCACGAAATGAACACACACCAGAGGGGAAAATGAAAAGCCGACCGTGGAAAGAATGGAGAAAACCGAAGGAAAACCCGAACACGCATATCCATATCCAACAACTGGCTGGTGGTTTCATGGTGCAAACAAATCAGAAATCACAAAGAAGGAATAAAAAACACGCGGATCCGGAGCAATTAAACACAAAAAAGGGAGTCGGACGCGACCGCATCGAAGACAGAGGCTCCAAAAGGACACCTTCGCGGAGTAGCAATTGCAGTTCCTCATGGGGTTGGTGTGGTGTCTGGGGGGTATTTCTATAGGACGAGTACAACACTTACCCTTGACATAATTAGGCGGAAGAACTACTCGCGGCTTGGCTGTGTAGTTCATGTGGGCCTCCGTGGCTTCGCTCAGCCTGCAAAGTGAGCAGCACAAAACAAAAGGGGGAGAAAATTCAAATGCAGTCTAAGCTGAGTGGGGTTGGGGAAAAGGTATTTCTTTATATATGGGGGAAGCCCCAACGTTTAAGAAGGGATGGACATGGAATGGGGATGATGTCTGCCACATGCAACTGTAGCAAACTTTGTCAATTTAAGTCTGAATTTGAAATTAACTTCCTTCGTGCTCGCCGGGGCTCCGTTCGATTCGATTCTATAGTTTTCTGTTCCGCTTAACCTGCTGGCGGCAGGCGAATAATATTAGTTTGCTCTTTGCCAATCGGCCGAAAAATGCCGTGCAGGATTCTCATTTGACTTGTGATCCAATTGACCTTGCCTTCGGCGTACGGGGAGAGTCGCCTTATTTCGAGCCGAAAATTCAAACTGAAGCGCAGCGATTTTGATTTTTATTCTTTTTACGAAGGTTTCCCTTGAACTGAAAACAAAAAAAAGGCGATTCTGTTGGGGGTTGCACTTGGCGTCTCAGATCCCCAGATGGATAGAGATGGAGATGGAGAAGTTGATGTTATGGAAAGGGAGGTACAGAAGGAGAGGATGGAAATTGGAGCCTTACCACATCAGTATGAATCCCAGTCCAAACGATAGTAATGCGTTTGTGCTGAATTTGTCGAGCATGATGTTGGGGCGACGGCGTCGGGAAAGGATTTGTAACTCAGACCTCAAATCATCTCACTTTACACCGACGTGGGAATTTCATAATTCGGTTTCTGTAACACAATATATTTTTTGATCATTTGCATTTCATTTTCATTTTCCGACGACTTTCGTTTCGTTTCGGGATTAACTCTCTTACATTTTTGTTTTGATTCGATTTTTGCGCTCGGGCTTTGCACACACTTTGCTTTCGAACACGACCACGGTACGGGGAGCACTAAACAAAAGACTGAGATACGGGGGATCGGGATTCTTGGGACTATCCGCGGCTTATCCGTGGGGCACTGCCTCCGGCTCGGCTGGTGTTCGGAACTCGAATAATCCAAGAGCCGAGCTCTGGCGGCGGAAGAGTGCTCATCTAAATACGAGTATCTGTATCCGCATCTGTGATATGTAGATTCCCCACGCCCGGCTGTGTGGGCGTCCGGCCGATGGCAGATTGCGGTCGTAAAACTGATATACTGAGCTCACAGTCACGACTCTCTAGGGTTTGATATTATTTCTGATTTTTGTTGTAAATATATTTAAAGCGATTTTTCAGGAAAGCGGACCATCTGTAAATCGTTTTCTATTATTGTAGCAGATTTTTGACAAAGCGGTTTTAAAACTTGACTAAATTACTATTCATAATTAAATTAAAAACTAACTTAAATGGAAGAATGTCTCTATTTCTACAATTTATATTTTCCAAATGTAAAATACATTCATTTAAAGATAGGAAAATCAATGCTATTCTTGAAGATATAGAAGTTTGTGGTTCCTTTTCTGAGTGTATGTTTTGTGTTTAAATAAATCTAGAATATTTTCTTATAAATATTTGTGTTGTTTTAAATTAAACAACAACGAAGATTCACTGTAGTTTGTGGTCGCGGAAGAAGCGGAGCAGCTCCGCCCAGCGGTCAAGGCATGTGGCCGGTGTACTGATGGCCTGGTAATTGCCCCCGGCACAGGGCACAGAGCACACTTCTCGCCAAGATTCAATTGAATCGCGTGCCAATTCTACTTAAGTCGCTGCACAGAGACGGACAGCCGGACAGGCGGTGTAACAGCTCAATCTATGCGACTATTTATGAGATGCGACCCGATATCTGGCGTAGATACGTAGATACTTTCGCAGATACGCGGATGGATGGAGATAAATGGCCAGATAGATGGGCAGATAGAGTTTCAATTGCACGCTTCCTGGCTGCCAGCAACAGCTCAAACCAAACATAATTGCCTGGACATGTGGATGCCACACATCTATATGGTACATCCACTTCCTATAAATTACTTTCGGCGCTGACATTGACAATGGCCGTGGTCGACGTGGATTTTTTGCGCAAATTAAAAATGTGCCACTTCCAGATCTGCCAGAGAATATATATATATATATTACTAGGCGGATTCCCGGGTATATGCAGATCGTGAGATGAACCGTATCCGGCTATGCCCGGCCTCAAGTGGTGTAGGCAGCCTCGGAGGCGACACTGTTCGCTTGCATGGATCTTGGATCACTCGCTGTCGCATTACGTAGATTCGGTTGGCTAATGGGATTCACTTTGATTAGATATACACGCACTAATTGAGTCTGAGCTCCACGAGTCCATTAATATTCATGCTCGGGATCCTGCCGAGCGGCACACGTTCAAAGATCCCCGCCGATTGGATTAATATTAATGAACCTTTAAATGCGGCAATTTCAACGGGGTTTTGTTTGTTATATAAAAGCCAGCACGGCTGGGGCATTATGCGGGGATTTTCGATCAGCCAGCAATTACATTAATTATGCATTTAAGGACATTTATTAATGCTTCTTCGCGAGGGGGTTCCGGCCTAGAATTACACGAGTTTAACGCTCGCATCACGCGAGTACTCCATCCTCGCACTGTCCACCATCCATTCTGGTAAAACCATATTATTCAGATATTGTTAGATGGGGGAAAATTACCGCGCTGCGGGAACGACGCGCGCCCGAATCCGAATCCGTTCGCCTTCGCTCAGGAACTAAACTGAACTGAACGGAACGGAACTGGGCTGTGAAAATACGCGAATTTCTTTGGCCTGGCCTGGGCCAGCCGCTCGCCTTGCCAACTTTAATGTCGACATACGAAAAAAAAAATATCCCCCAACAGCGGCGGCTCAGGCACGACAACCAACTGTAACGGGGTTTCCACTTACAGGGAGTTGGGGCTAGGGGATTGGGGGCTCCTCTGGTGGGCTGGAAGGACGATTGCATGGGCACCGCGGCTCGGTTTGCTTGCTAAATTGGTGTTGGGTTCCCTGGAAGTGTGTTTGGGATTTTCTAGTCCCCATACCCCAGTCTGCTTTCCCATTCTAGGAAGATCAAATGCATTGAGAGCTGCTTCCAATGACTGTCATATATCCATCTAACTTTTGAGTGTTAAGGATCGAAGGAAAGGCTTCTTCAGGAGAATATACCCTTTTTTCCGCCCCACCAAATACGCACATGTGTCTCTATAATTTCCCTGGTCGGGGTCCTCCAATGAGCTGCATGCGAGTTGACTTGAAATTTCCACAAAGTAACCAAAACACTAAACAACTGCCACACATTGCGTCGTCGTCCCCACCTGGCGTGGCCACTAACCATCGCCCCAAGGGCTGGAAACGAGGCCTGACTGAGTGAATGGCACCCCCAGGCCCTCTAGTCCACGGTTCTCGTGGGAAATTTCTATATGGCTGTGTAAATACAAATCGCGTTTGGTAGGACCTAGGACTATAATATATATACTATATATCGCACTGACACAGACATGGCGTGCATATACTGCCTCTGTTTGGAGCCAATGCTGTACATATGGACGCTAGGCAAGGTAAGAGAGAGAGAGTCATTTCGTTATGACATTCTCGCCAACTGACAATGAAATAAAGTTTATTTTATTTTAGCTTCGATTGTCTTGCTGTTGATTCCGTTTTATGTCCGCCCGACGTTGAGCTATGTAGTTAGCAGCTCGCGAATCGCTTGAACCAACTTGTTGTCAGCCAGTCAGTCAGGCAGTTAGGGCTAATTGCCGCCTGGCAGTCCGTTTTCAGGGTATCTAGATGCGGCTTAGTGCTTGTCGTGCTTTATGGCCAGTGCGCGTGCGGCGCAGTCAGCCACTTTGATTAATGGCCAACTGTCTAAATGACTGGTGATGACGATGACGCCAACAAAGGGCGACATCTCCGGGCAAAGGCCTGTACTTCCTGATTAAGAGGCAACAGTTCCTGTGCTCCGCTTATAGATATCACTTTATATATTATATGCCAGAGCATACAGTTCACATTAGGCCTAGAGAATGAAGTAGGAAACTTAAGTTAGACAATGGAGGCTCCCTGCTGGTTGGTTCGCTGGTTGATCTTCACGTGCGTCTGTCGCTTCTTCTCTTCCCTGAAGGCTTCCGTGTTGGCCTTCTTTTCGATGCGTCGCTCGTTGCGATACTCCTTTAGCAGGCGCTTTCGTTCCTTCTTCTCCTCCGCGGTCTCATCCTTGGGTCGGATGGAGAGGACGCTTAATGTGGAAAGCACCGATTTGGCGCACAGTGATTTGGGGCCAGTGGCATCGGCTGAATCGTCCGCTAGGTTGGCCAAAGCTTTGGCTGTCAGCTGGCCGTCGACGCCTCCGCGCAGAACATTGGCAGGCAGTCCTGTCTTCGGGTCGATCTGGATGGGAACTGGGTTTGTGCTGGCGCTGGAGCGACGACTGCGACGCGGCTCGTCGATCAGCTTGGGGTGATTGTAGATATTCGAGTAGGTGGAGAGGATGGACTCGCAGTCCCACTTCTTCTGCTTGGGATCGTCCACCTCGTACTCCACCAGCTCCTCGGTGGGATCCTGTTCTCCCTCGACCACATTGCGATACTTTTCGATGCGCTCGCGATCCCACTCTTTGTTGTACTCAATCGTCTTGTCCTTCTTCTTGAACTCCTGGAAGCACTGCATGACCACAGGGTGCTTCTGGTGCCAGCTGCCCTCGATGTCCTCCAGGGAAAGGTCGCCCAGTTCGGGGTCGTCGTAGCTGGCATAGAACTTCTCGAAGCGGTCGTCTAGGAGTGAGAGCTGCTCATTGCGGCGGATCACGCTGGAGGACATGGAGTATTCGGTGAAGCGCGACTTGACCTCCTCGTCGTCGAAGCGACGCTCGCGCATCAATGGCGCCAGGCGATCCATCAACTCGTCCTCGTTTTCATCTTCCTCATTAAGGTCATCCGAATCGAAGTCCATGTCCTCCTCGCTTTCTTTGTCGTCCCACTCCTCGTCGTCGGAGTCGCCCTCAGCCATGGCCTGCATCACGAAGTCATCATCCAGCTCCTCGTCGTTCTCGCAGTCGCTGTCCAAAGCGGCCACAACATCCGGGTCCCAGTCAAGACGCAGTGACTGTGGTGCCGCCTTGTTCAGCATACCCTCGGACTCCTCGAATTCACTGGCGAACACAGAGCTGGGCAGCACCAGCTTGGGCGCTGTCCCCGCCTTCTCGTCCTCGGTGCGCTGTTTCCTCGCCTGGTTGGGGTTTTCCATGTACTCCCACACCACGTCGTTCTCGCGCTTCTTCAGGTGCTGCATGTAGTCATAGTCATCGTCGAAATGGATGCCGAACGTCTTTAGCTCCTCCTGCCGCTTGGCGGGATCTACAGGAGCCACCTCCTCCTTTGGCTTCTGCTGCCTGGCCGCCGCCTCCAGCAGAACTCGTTGCGGCGCATTTTCATCCGTCACCAGGGGATCGTGCTGACTGCGGTGCACCAGGTGGAAGGTGACAGCCTTCTTGCGGTCAATGTATGGCTTCTTGCCCTTACCCTGAAAGAGAATGTGAGTATTCAGAACATGCTGGCGAGGATTTTAAGGGGTTTACTCACCATTATAGCCTTGTTTTTGTAGATTCTTTTTGTAAATAAAGAGATGAACACATGTACCTGCTGGAGCTGCCACCCAGAAAGGGATTTTAAGCGACAGTTCCCGACGGTCACACTCTGCAGCGGACTGTGTTGGAAAGTGCTTGTGGTTTAGGTGTTGGCTAACGTGTATTTGTATACAAAAAGAAGGCGCGAGGCGGTGTGTGGCGCCCTATCCTAGAATTAAAGTTGTATTGACTGGATTGAATTTGCGCAGTATATTCTTGAAAATAAAAATGGAACAGGCCGAAAAAGATTTTATTTTTTAATTTTATAACCCAATACATGATCTTAATGATCTAATAACTTGTTCCTTCGGGCTTGTAACTATTGTAAGCCGCCTTTAAATTTTGTAGTTTGTTAAATTTACTAGTTTTAATTTATTTTATAAAAACAAAGGTATATCAACTTTTTTTTATGCTAAAGTATTTTCCATAAGCTTGAATATACTAATATGTATTAATTACAATCTTAACACATTATCAATTAATTATACCCTTGCAGGGTATTATAGTTTCAGTCAGAAGTTTGCAACGCAGTGAAGGAGGCACCTCCGACCATATAAAGTATATTGATCAGGATCAACAGCCGAGGTGATCTAGCCACGTCCGTCTGTCCGTTTCTACGCAAACTAGTCTCTAAGTTTTGAAGCTATCTGAATGAAATTTTGTAGTTAGTCTTCAATATACTCTCACTCGTATATTTGTCGGATCGGACGACTATATCATGTAGCTGCCATAGGAACAATCGGAACATTTTTCAAAAAAAAAAATTATAACATTTTTAGTTTCCAACAGAATTTAATCAAATTTGAGATATAGCCACTTTATATAAGTCTTAAATTTTGTGTCAAATTTTATGAAAATCTGACGACTATATCATATAGGTGCCTTACAAACGATGCAAATATGTAAAAGTCAAACTGCAAATATAATATGTATAGGTGAATGAAATGAAAGCAGGTATTACTTATTGTTTTTTAACATAAATATATTGTATGGATTCCTAGTCATCGAAATTCTATCTGCAAGGGTATATAAACATCGACGTGCCGAAGTTAACTTTCTTTCTTGTTTTTAATTAATATTAATGCGTGAAAGAATGTTAGTAGTCACCAGAATAAATAAATTATAATTAAAAAAGTCAATCAGTTGCATATACTTGGATATTTATTAGTTCGATTTTATTTTGTATGTACATTTACAAACTTGTTACAATGCTTAAGGTTTTCACACTGATGAATAAGCGCCTGTGGTTCATTTCCTCGGGTTATCTTGGCAGGACCATCAAGGATGTAGCATAACAAGGTCGCTGAATTAATATATAATATATCGACGCTAGAAATTTATTATAGATAACCTAGATAGTAAAATAATTTTTCTCTATCGATTCAAAGCTTTCTTGAAATATAAACTTAACGTAAATCAGATGTTTCGAATATCAGGCTCTCCTCGCAAATCTCGTTATATATATATATACTCACAGTCCTTACGGCTTTTTAAGTTTAGAGTTTACATAAATATCTCGAATTCGAAATTAATTTTGCAAAACCATACGCAGAGGGACTAAAATATAGGGTTTTAAACTATTCACTTTCTGAAGATCGATTTTTATAGTTATTGCCTGTAGTGTGTTGCCGGAGGCCGGACTCGACTCGCATGGTCGCGATTTTCTTTGGATGACCAGATCGCCAGTCGGGTGCCCTCAACTTTGATAACCTTCGCGCGATCCTTAACAGGCTTACAGCTTAGTTGGGCTATTAATGTGATAATTATGATTATTTGCATTATTAACATAGAAATTTTGGTGCCTCCCGATCCAGATCCCGATCCTCATGGTCCGCCGTGGCGTGGGGAGTGCATCATCACTAGACAAAAGCACTTGGATTGCAGCTAAGCTAGGTACAGTCGCGAGGTGTCTGGCTCCTCCGTCTACTTCAGCGCTTCCTTGGCCCGCTGCTCCCACTCGGCCCGTCTCTGGTGGATGCCCTTGAATTCGCCCACGGTGGCGGATCTCTCGATGGGTTTACTGGGCACTGCAGGAGTTCCCTGTGCAGCGGCTGCTGTGGCTCCTACTGGGCCTGCCACTGGAGATGTTGGCGTAGTTACTGGCGGGTTAGACTGCTTCAGCTGTAGGGAGAACCTCTCGGACACTGGCTTGGTAACGATACCGTTTCCGTTCCCATTATTGTTGATTTGGTTGCTATTGTTGAGACTATTGCGTCCCGTGTTGCTGACCTTAATGGGGGGCAGGTAGTTAACCACTTTTGGCGTCGTCTTCTGCTGATTGTTGTTGTTATTGTTGTTGAGATTTCGGAAATCGGCCACCGAGTTGCGATTGCTGCTGGGGTGATGATGATGAGTCGTCTTTCCGGTCTCCCCTGTGCTCACCTGCGCCTCGTACTTGGGCGCCAGCTTATCCAGCTTCTCCTCGCTATTGGACTGGTTCTCCTTGTCGCTGTCCACGCTCTGATTTCCAGCTCCACTACCGCTGGGCGGCAGCTTTTTGGCGGCTCCGGTCGCGGCTGTGGTGACCTGAATGGCCGTTTGTGCCTGAGCTAGTGTCACCACCTCATCGTCCTTCACCTTGAGAGAGCGGCGGGCGAAGACCTTCATCAGCTCGGGCGTGGGATCGTCCTTAGAGGGCGTGGCTGTGTTGCCATTGCAGCTGGCGAAGGACTTCTTGCGCAGCACCACGGGATTGGAGGTGGATGTGGGTGAACCGTTGCCATTGACTTCGTTAATTTCGGGCGAAGTGGGCGTAACAGGGGTAATGGGAATGGCAGGTGTGGCAGGTATCACTGAAGGCGTCGGCGGTGCACTGGTGGCTATGATCTCCGCCTTGCCGATCGACTTTCTGCGCTGCTCCACCAGCACCTTTGGTCTCTCCTCACTGAGGAACAACCTTTTGCGATCTTCCAGCGACAAACGATTGCTCTTCACCACCTCTTTGGGGCTGCCTGCCTGCTCATTGGCATCCTTCGCATCCTTGACATCCTTGGCACTCTTGACCTCCCTGGGAGGACCCTTGGCCGCCACTCCATTACTCTTCGGTGTACTGGGTGTGGTCGCGGGAGTGTTCGGGACGGACAATCCCTCATTGCTGCTTCCGTAACTCGACCTCACACTATTGGCACTCACGGATCGCAGCTGCCGGCTAAGGCTGGGTTCCAGACCTTGCCTGACCACCGGAGTTGCTACCTTCTGCACTTGCTGCTCTACGATCTCGATACCAGAAAGACTCTCTCCGCTGCTTCGCCTGAAGCTGAGGTCATCGCTGCTCTGACTGCGTTCTGTGGACGACGACTTCAGGTTCTTTGCTAGCACCAAGTGATTTGCCTTGTTGTGCAGGCGGGCCTGATCTACGCGATTCAGCTGGATCTTCATGAACTCCGGCTCTCCAGTGGCCTCCACGTTGCTGGAGTTACGACGACTGCTGGAGCTGGAGCTCTGTGGCTTGGCTGGCGTGGTTGGTGGGCTGTTGGAGAGCTTGGCGGTCTTAGTTAGTGGGCTGGCAGGACTCGGACTGGCTGCAAGGGGAACGGCTATCTTAGTTCCCAAATCCAACAGCTTCGGACGTTGCTTGGGGGAGGGTGCCGCCTCCTGGTGAGGCTTCTCCGGCAACTTTTCTGGCTGCTTCTCCGGCTGCGTCACGTTGCCCGACTTCCTGAGAACACTAACCAGCGGTGACTTTACAATTAAGTCAATGTTCTGCTCTATCTGTGAGATATTCGTGGGTCCCGGACTGCCCACCAATAGCTTGGTGGTTGAGACGGCCCTTTGGGGCGAGCTCTTGGCTCCCGGTGATGGCAGCTGACCCGTGGACTCGGCACGCGCTTGTAGCAACTTGTTGTCATTGATCTCGAAGCCCAGGGAGACGCACTTGGCGCTCGGCGAGATCGGAGAGCAGATGGGGGACTGCGGCGTCTGCTTGTAGTAGGCCGGTACTCGGAAACTTAGCGAGAGATCCGGCAGACTGGGCATGTTGTTGTGCACGGAAGGTGACTCCACACCCTCCTCCTGGTAGTTGCGGAAGCTACGCGCCTTCTCCACTGTTTTGCGCTGCTTCTCCTCGTAGTACAGGGGCGAGGGTTCGTCCGTGCTGGTCTCCAACGAATTGGAGGAGCTGGAGTGCTGGCCCACTGAGTCGGTGGAGCGCGACAGCTTCTGCTGGAAGGCACTCAGGCCCACTATCCGGGGCTTTCGCTCGAAGTGGGTAGAGGTTTCCACCTTGGTCTGCTGCTCCCGCACCAAGGTCGTGGACTGGAAGGTGTCGTTTCCGCGTGAGCTCTTCGAGAGTAGATTGGTCACATCGTTACTGAGTGGGGTCTTCTCCTGCAAACTAGGGACGGCTCCCAGCTCCTTGGGCAGATAACGCTGCCTGGCTGCCGGACCAGATTTTGGCTTTAGGGGCGTCGGCGGATGCGGATGGACGCCGTAGTTGCTGACTATGGCGTTGAGGCCATGTTTGCCCTCGTTGTGGATCTCCCGCTTGATGATCTGCCGCGTCTCCAGAATGTTTTGCTCATGGGAGGTGGCACTGCGCGCCTTATCCGGCAAGGAGACGGGCTCCCGAGCAGCTGCCTCCAAGCAGGAGGTCGAGATCTGCAGCTTCTTGGCCACGCTCTGGCTGGAGTCTGTGTCCTCCACTCCGTCGTTAGCTCTGGCAATAGATCTCTTCGAGTTCCTGTGCATTAAGCGACGCAAGAATCCGCTTTCGCTCTCCCGCTCTCGCTCGTTCGCCAGGAAGTCATCGCAATCCGTGGAGGACTCACCACGAGTCTCCAACACGGCGTTGGGCTTGGTGGTCAAGGCTCTCAGTCCATAGGAGGATGAGCTTGTGGTCACTGTGCTGCTGATAGAGCTCTGCTCGATCGTCTTGGTCCGCTTGGTGGTCACCAAGCTGGCGGGGATCGCCTGTGCCTGAGGCGCCATGGCAGTCAGGGTCTTCGGAGGCAGTGAGCGCGTCTTGCTCTTGAGCTCAGCATCTGTGGGTTTAATGGATTAAATAAGTATTCTTGAGAGTTTGAGAGAGGAGTTCCTACCATGCACAGCTCTCAGTCCAGGACTCATCTTCAGTACATCCTCGTTGGCCTCTGGGATGGAGGTCTATGGCAAGAGTATTAAGTAAGTTTGTATCAAATTTCAAGAGACTCTTTTACTCACCTCCAGAGTCATGCGGTGCTGTCTTGTGGGAACCTTCTTCTTGGCTGGCCTGATGGCCATTTTGTGCCTGGCCGCTGCATGTGACAGCCGGTGCTGTTCCCTGCCCACGGCATCCACATCGTCCTCTTGATGGGATCGAAGTATGTCCGAGCCCATCGAGATGGACGAACTGGTGGAGACCCGTAAGTGGTGCCGGTGGCTGTCCTCCGTGTCCCCCTCAGCACTGTTGACACTCAGCAGGCTGAGGGATGTCACCTCGCTCTGGCTATGTGCTCCATGGGCACCACCACGCGACTGATGGTGGCTTTGGTGACCACCTCCGTGGGCAAGCCGGCTGCTGTTGCCACCGGCCGCCCGTCTCTGCGGCGAGGCCGGACTGCGGGGCAGGCCCAGATCCTCGTCAGAGGCATCGGGTCGGTTGCGTCTCTTACGCAGCACATCCGTGAGTTCCGCCTGGAGTAAGAAGAGGATATAAACAGATTAGGTTATGTTATATAAGATAGGTTTAGTCCATTCAGGCTTGGCTCTAGGATTACCCAGCTTTTCCACCGAAAAACGAAGCGGGCCCTGAGACAACTGCGCCCCAGGCGACTCTCGCCCATGGAGGAGCCGCCCAGCTTCATCTTGAAGGGATTCTGCTTAAAGTCGATCATTTCGAGGGCCTCACAACGCGATCGAGGCTAGAAATGACTGCCAGGATGATGGGCAGGATTAGCTGGGCAACTGTGGCTGAGTCTATTACTGCGATTCCTGATGCCCTACTCTCCCAGACTCTATATTCTTTCTCACAAATTCTTACCGCAAACGAAAGCTGAAAGGGATTGGGCTGCGCCCTCAGAGAACCCGCACTTCCGGCTACCATGGTGCTGATTATGAACTATGAAAATGTGGCTCTATGCACGCGATCTCAGTGATTTCACTTTCCACTCGAGGAATAGTAGTAGCAGCAGCAACAGTAGCAGCAACAGCGTCTGGCGACAACCAAGTGCAATGTGCAACTGAATCTGTTGCAGGGCGGATTCCAAAGCAGATGCATCGAGAGTGAAGTGAAAATGAAAATGAAAATGGGAATGGTAAGGGAAATGGCAAGGCAAATGGCGTCTGCCTTCGATTTTTACCTAAGCAAACACAATTGGCCCCGAAGATCTGTTTATTGTCTGTCCTCAGCCATTGAGTTTCAAGGGTAAGACCCGAATTGAGCCCAAAAACGGCTGTGTTGTGCGTGTCCCAAAAGTAAACAAGCTGAGAAAAACGGAGCAGAATCTCTCATGGTTCTCGGAAAGAAACGAGAGCAGTGTCTGCCAGCCACCCCCTTGTTCCCACGTCGTCCATCTATCAGTGACTGCGGCGCGTGACGTCGCCATCTGTTCCTAGTGGAGCTGGGGCTGGGGCTATTTTTGGGAGCTCATTGCTCGAGGATTAAGTGCCGGGCTGGTTCAGGTTAAAGACCTTCGCGTCCATCAATTCTTGATAAACACCAACTGCAATTGGGAAATCGGGGGCGAGTTCAATGTTCTCCCAGTCGAGGGCCTTAGGAACTTTCTACAGTAAATTACCGATAGTTTCGGTAAATATAGTCGGAGTTAATAGTTATCTATTTCTGTCAGTTATTACCTTGGGTTAACTAGACATTTCTTTAGCTTAAACTACCCAATTTTTGATGCCATCAATGATGCCTTACATAATCTGAGCCATATGCTTTTTCGGGAAATTTAGCAGCATTCCAAATACCTGGCGAGCAAACTACCTGGCCACGTCCTGTGACCCTTAACCCATTCTCCGCCTTGTCTACTACCTGCTCCGTTTACTCCGACGCCACCAAGAATCGGTGTCGGAAAATCGCAGAGCGGACCGTCACGTTCACTGATTTATTGGCCCAGTTGCGAGTGGGCCAACTGTCGGTGGTCAGTACCAGTGGGTAAATGGTAAGTGGCTCCCAACATGGCCAACATTGATTACCACAGCCTGAGAGTGTGTGTGAGAGGGAGAGAACGGACACAACAGTTGGCCAAGTGGGAGGCACTGACTGCAATATCGCTTTGAATTAAATGCAATTGCATCACTCCGCCGTCCGAGTTGCATTTCAAACAACTGGATGCCATCTGTGTGCTCCGCGGATAAGTGGGATAAACGGCCTCAAAGTGTGTGCATTTATCCATCTGGAAGCACCGATCGGTTGGTAGGTCAGTAGTGGTTAACGCGATCTGACCCTGACTAATCAATATGGAAATATTTTATAGCGCAATGCAACCTGATCTTCAATGGTGTATAAATCAAGACATCAAAGTTGGCTACTTATAGAGAGTTTAACTTTTATTAGAATTCAAAGGAATTCTTATAAATTATTTGCACAAATAGAAAATATTTTATTATATATAATTTTTTCCAGTTTATACCCCCCACGTTTTGTACACAAATCAAATCCATACTCAGTCAACTCGTAAATAAAATAAATATTAAAAAACTTTGCACCCAGATATGCTCTCTATCTATTTACGATAACGAATTGATGGATTTTCCAAATACCAATTTGTAAACAAATAGTTTAAACAGATTTTAAGAAGATACATTATGTTGTGTCGAGGTAATTAGGAGAAGCACACTTCTATTCGAAAAAAGCACTCAGAATAGCTTTCCCTGAGACTGTCACAGGCCATTAAGCCATGAAATACCCAAGGAACCCTTCTCCACACACTCTCACCCAACTAGGTCGCCGCCTCGCTGGTTGCTTCTCTCAGAAGTTAAATCAAGTTAAAGCAAATGGAATCAATTTCTCCTTGTCTGTCACCCAAGAGAGTGACGGAGATGGAGAGTGGCAGGGAAGTGGGCCAGTGGCCAACCGATATGGACATGGCCCGGCTCCAGAATGCGCCCATCGGGCGAAACGTGTGAAGAAATGCAATTAAAATCCTAATGCGGATGCAGTGCACTTTGAGTGCGATCCTAATGGATGCGGAAATCTGCGAGATACGCAAATGCAGGCCGAAATGCAGTGATTGCATAATGAGTGGAGCAAGGAGTGGAGGCCGCTGCCAGACGGGAAGTGTCACAGATCTCATGTTTGGAGCAAACGAATGTAGGCCGAAAATGAAAATTTTCGAGTGTTGGGACCTAGGAAGTGATCACAGACCCCACTGGGGGACATTCCCCGCCAGAGTTGCTCAATTAGAGAGGAGCGTGTGAATGTTGGACATCGATGACGGGCATGCTCGCTCCCATGGTTCGATGCGTGTTACCGTGTTACCATTTGACTCTACCCGCTGCCATTCCAAGTCGTCCGGGACGGGTCTAAGTGTCCTCACCCCACAGAAATTGCTCTCCACTGCATTGTCATTTAGTTTTCCATTACGGCCATTTGTCGTTGTCGTTTAGATGTTTTTCTCTTTCTACTTATCCGCAATTAATTCATCAAACTGGTTGGCCCCGAGATCTTCACATCTGCTGGTAAATATTTATAGACCCAAGAGCTCGTTTCCACGACCTGATCTGGCAGCTTTTCAAAGGAAAATCGTTAAGACTGGACTAGGACTTGGCGGATTAGCAGGGAACTCTGGACTTGGAAGATGTCTATTTTGTGGAATGCTACAGGAAGAGAAAAGGGGTTTTGGAATTTTAAGAGGAAAGGCCTGAGTTGAGGTCAACACCCTTAAAGAATAATTTATCTTTTTTTTTTATAGATTTTAATATTTAAGAAGGCAAAGAGTATTAATTTAAGAACTTAAATTTGTAATTGACTTTCTGCTTATTACCTTTAAAAGGTTCTGAATTATTTATTGGTTGCTTATAAGGGAAAACTCTTTCTTTCTTATGGAATCTGTTAAATAAAAACTTATACATTTCGGGAAAAAAAAACTCAATGAAATATTAAGTTATAAGATATACTTCCGCCTGTTATATCTCAAAGATAAAAAATATCAACTTATAACTTAATGAGCCCCTTGGAATCGCAGTTGTTCATAAATCTCCAGCACAGTTACCCAGTTGAACCGTTAAATTAAAAGTTCGTTAACTTCTTCACTTGGCTAGAGTCCAGGAATCCCGAGGATTGTGGACATAGCGCGGATCAGAGTCGGATTCGGATTCGAAATCGTATGTTATATAGTAAAACCAAGCCTTGTGAACGCCCGAGTTGTCTTCACTGGCTAAAGTCTCGATGCAAACTGATTTAGCGGAAAACTTGCAGGAGTTCAATAGCATAGAAACAGAAAGAAATGCGATTTATTTGCTAACCAGGTTGGCAAATAACCCGGGTGGGAGCTCGCGGAGCAGGAGGAGGCGGCAGCTCCAGGGAGCTGCCTGGCCTGCCAAGTGGAAAAAAGTGGAATAACAAGAAGCAACCAAGCGGCCGCCGCCGCCGTCGACCATCGTCGGCTCATCGGCAACTCGTTTGTCCAGAAACCGAAGAAGCAATAGAAGTAACACAACTCTGGCCAGTAGAAGAAGCCGCAAATTGCCACGCGCGGCAAGAGCTGGAAAATCGGTTGGAAAAGCGGGAGTTTGGACGGGAGTGTGGCGGTGTGCGGGTCTTGCCACGGCTTACTGCAGTTGCTACACGGAGGAAAAAAGCTTTTGGGGAAGTGATCACTTTATATATTTTAATTAAATTTAGTAATCGAATTTAAAGTGCTTCTTCATTTTGAGCTTTGTTTCCTCAGCATACACTTATTTTAAGTATTTGTCAAATCAGTTAAATTATCTTAAAAAATTTAAAGGAACGTGAATTCTTATGGTAGTATCTCTGACTCACTTAGTAACAGAAATACTAATATTAAATGTATAATGCATTACCTAACTAAGAAATTTGTAAATATTTTCTTGCGTGTAGTGTCTAACATTGGGTTCGGTTTCAGGTTGCAAAAACGCGTGCGTTGGCAATAGTTTTTCTTTTTCTTTCACTCAAAACTAAAAGAAACGAGAAGAAAAACACCAGAAAAAGACTCAACCAACTTATGCAGTAATGGTGATAATGACGTAGATAATGAAGATTTGTCTATTAGATAACAGCCAAAGCCAGACTACATTTTATTTTCGACTTTCGTTTGGCGTTAAATTAAAGTGCGAGTCAATTGTGTAACATTGAAATTGATTTCAATGTACCAATTAAGACTTGAGAATCTGGTTATTTCGGATAGCCAGAAGATCCCCTTAACCAATCAAGCTTCGATTGTCTCTGGGGTTCAGTCAACTCAATTAATGGATGTTCTCCATCCCAGATAAGGCCAGCTAGCTAATCAAAGTGTTGATAATGTTTTTGTTTTCCTAAAACTCTGGGAACAATTGAAATCTGAGTCAGTGGACTCCATTGGAGATTCGGTCATCAATGGCGCTGCAGAAATGCCAACAAAGGCGCCAATTGAATTTGATTTAAATCAATTTACGAGTAGATTGCTTGCAGCACAAAGTACGGTTCAGGGGAGGGGTCTTTGGTGGATTTCCATCGAATGACCCAAGGGCCCTGAACTTGATTTGAATGAGAAAAAGTGAAAGTAGGAGTGGAAATGGAATTTTACATTTATTTTTAGGTCAAATAGATCTGGTCAAGGGACGCTAAAGAGTTGGGAAACTGCCAAAACTATATATATGCAGTACTAATTCAATTTGAATGGATTCTCTGGGAGCCAAGTCTAGAGTTGGAGTATTGAACTTTGGGGTTTATATTATCGTTTAAGGTTATTTCAAACTCACCTTCAGTACTATCGATAGACTGCTGGCCGTTGCTGACTCGGAGAAGACACTGTCGTGGGACTGCGACAGAGTCTCCCGAGAGTAATCCCTGAAATAAAACCAGAAATATACATTAACCATTATGATAATCAAAGTCTGTATGGACTCACCCGTCCACATCTAGAAGGCGACCCTCGCTGAGACTCCGCTGGCTGTCGGAGATATCGGCAGCTCCACCGGCCCCCGAACCCGATCCCGATCCGGAAACAGATATGGATCCACCCTCCAGCTCCTGCGAGGAGTCACCTACGCTGCGGAGAAGGCGCTGCTGTATGCGCTGCTCTGCAAAGTAGCTGCTCCTGCTCATGCCGAGGGAGTCGACGGGAAAGACGGCCACTCCACGCTGGGACATGGCTTCCTGCTGGGCTTGGACTGGGGACTGAAACTGGCCTGGATTCTGGTCCAGGCTGTGCTGTGCTGGCGCCTGCTTGCCGCTCCGCTTCTTGCCCAGAAGCACGCTCAGCAACTCATCGCGATGGGAGCCGTAGGACTTCGACTTGGGCAGCGACTGTGTCTGGTAGCTCTGCTCTGGCAGCTGCTGGAGATTCAGGGGGGATCCTGGTGCAGCCGAAGCTCGCAGGTTCTTCTCACTGCTGCTACTGGCCGGTGGCGGTAGGGTATTGCAGGATCCGGGTCCTATGCCAATGCCGGGGGACGGACTGTCTGCGGATGTGTTGATGGTGCGGCGGCGGAAGATGCGGCGGAGATTACGGAGTGGATGGAAACGGCGCCGTTTCTGCTGCTGCTGCTGCTGATTTTGGTCTGAAACAAGACAAGAAGGAAGATGAGAGACGTCCTCTGATTTTACAACATTTTCGGTCTATTTAGTTTATGTATATTATATTTTTGTGGTTTTTTTGTAGAGTTCATATAGGAACTCATGACCTATCTGTGAATTGGAACTGAATATCATACTGTCTGACGTAGCCAGGCATAATGATGTCAACCAGCTTTCCTGTTCGGTTGACAGGCGGCATAAATCTACCAGAGGAGGAGGAAAGTCTTCCCAGGGATTAAGTTTTCACACTTCCAAGCTGATTACTCATTTATCAGTCCCTATCTGGGATTATTTTATCATGGAATCTGAGGTCTCCCACCTCACCCACTAGATTGTAAATTGTTGTAAAATAATTAATAAATCGTAGACCCATAAACAAAACCCTTTAGATATAAACAAAAATATCAACAAGTTCTTCAGCGCTTCCGAGGAAGTCAAGTCATATTTCTAGACGCCACTTAACTTCCGCAGTTACTCAGCTGTTGAGCCAATCAATTGTTAATAGAATTTTTCCGTCATTCGGTTACACTTAATAGTAGAGCGATAAGAAGTAAACAATAAATGGGCGAAACCGAAACGAATCGCACCCCAAAACATGACCATAAATAGGCAAAAGCCGGAAGACCCGTGAATGAATGAAAGGCCCAAAGGGGAATGATAGCAAGGCGCGGAGTTCCAGTAAACCCGATTGGACACCACGTGCACACAAGCTTGGAGAACCATTTGACAAGGTCTTAACTTATCTCTGACAGCTACTTGGATTTACACAATTTCTGGGACAAAGAAAATCTGATATTAAGAGTGCAATTGATTATAATTATAAAGTTATATCAAATATCGGCTTAGTCTTTTGTGGTTATGGCCTTGACGGTCATAGAACTCTATAATGTTTATTCTTCCATCGATGGTCGATAGCACAGAGCAAAGAAATAGAAAAAGAGCGATGGCTGGTAATTCCTTATCGATCACCGAGGAATGTGAAGTACATATGTAGGTACAAGAAAAGTACAATATCATGTATTATAGCTAAGTGATGGGCAAATACATATTTGTATATAAAACCCAGTAGGGAGATAGGGAAACCTCCTTTCAGATGTAAACTATTGAAGCCAAAGGTCTGGTGATAAACTCTTTGGAAAGTATGGCTCATCCCTGAACTCTTACATCTCTCAAGAGTGACTCATTGTCTCTGTGTGTCATTACCTCAAAATGAAAGTTCAGACACCCGTCTTCTCCGTGGAAAGTGTACATACCTTCCATATACTAATTAGAGAAAAGAACCACAACCAAACGGAAGTACAAGCATTTTCTAAAATAAAATCAAAGAACGCTGCCAAGAAAGCTTCGACCTCTAATCAAATAGAAAAATAAATAAAAGCGTTGCTCAAATGCCGGTCACGTTTTGGGGCCGCGACACGCGAACGTCGAAAGATACTACAAGATACATATATAAATGAATACTATATAGTATAACAACACATGGGTAGTCATGGCTACGAGCATTCCCCATTTATGCTTGTTTTGTGATGGCTTGATTTTAATGATTAATTTCACCTGAGTTGGGGCTGGTCACCAGAGCTTACTCATGGAAAAAAGAAGTACATATAGTATATAAATATTATCCCCGCTAACACGTCATTCTATTTATTGCCTTTTGGGGTGTCGTCTGGCTGTCTGCTGGCTGCTCTCACGAAATTGCTTGGGGACCTTGCTAATGGAATTTTAACCGCCGAAGGGGAGGCAGCCACCCTCGGCAGTGACAATTGTTTATTTATAGAATGCCTAATTGGGTCAGCCATTGCCGCGAGCTGCATTTCTTTAAGCCAGCATGAGAGAGAGTTCTGTCCCTAAAAGAAAAATCCTTAATGAAAATCTTCTACGTAACTGAAAAGTTTGTGTTTGAGTTTGAGTCTGAGCAGCGATGCTGCCTGTGATTCACTTAATGAGGCAATCCCCACGATTACATCAGCATTGTGCGCGGATACATTATTTCTAATTTATCTAAAGTCTATTAAGCAAGATTTGTTATTACTTCGAGTCCCGTATTGTCTTCTTTTGTGTGCTGTCATCAGTTTGGGTTTCATTTCCGCGAATGTGTGAGTGAGTGTGGGCGAAATGCTCGTCATTGTCAGTTTTTTTGGCTTGGCTTTGGTAATTCATCAAAACTGATTTGAGTCTTTTCAATTTGGCAACATGATGCCTCCTCGGATTAATCGCACTTACGACTGATCACTAGAGAGGTGAGTTAGATAGATATAAAACTATCGAAGCCATTGGTAATCGGTATTAAGGAAAGTATTTAGTATTTCGATAGAAATTTATAATAATTATAAATATATGTCAATGAACTTATTACCCATAAAAACATTATTTATTAAAATATAATGATACTTTTTTAATACCTAATACAAGTCTGAGTGCTTGACACCTGTTCGCATTCGATTAATTTGAACATATGATATCACAAAAATAACCTATCAAAATTTTCGAAAATATGATTATACCTAAGCAATAAATTAAGACTCTTCTTACTTATAAGTAAATATTGAACAATTTTGAAAGCTTATACCCTATAACTACATTAAATATCAAAATATATACCTCCTCATTGGACACCTGATGCAAGTACCCGGCGCGTGGGCTTTCGGAGGTGTTCAAGTGACACCAATTCGCTTTCGATTCTGAATTTGCAATTCCAAAAAGAGGTTTGGCAAGTGGGTTCGTTTATTAATTAATCATTGGCACAAACGTTGGTTGCCCCACACTCTCTCAACATGCAAATTGTGAAAACCAAATGGCAAACTACACAGCTTTTCAGCCGAGTTGCAGTAATTGGAGACCTTTTTCGAGCGGATGTGAGCTCGGCTCGGACTGCTGGCCTATTGGTTTGGGGAAGGTCAAGTGGACCACGCCCACATCCCAGCCAGCAGGCACCAGCTCCCCAGCCCCCAGCTCCCAGCTCCCCAGCCTAGCCGTGTGGGCAGCTTATCCGCTTAACAAGTGCTGAGTTCACTTGCGCGGAATAAAAATAGAAAAACACCCAACATGGTGGAGAACCAAGAACCCGAAGGCCCAAAGAGGTAAACAAAGGCACCAAGAATTGCACAATTCTTTGGACAAATAACTCTTACGAGCGAACAGGTCTCACCGGGGCCTTCAAAATAATGTTGGCTTTTGCTGGTTCGTTACGAGTAAGTTGCAGTGTGCTGTAAGTCTCGAGAATCGAATGCGATGCCAATGGATTAGCCAAGGTTCGTTGAGTTCGTTGGTCAAAGAGTTCAACATGGCGTATGATTAATTACATCAACACTTCAGGATTATTTTCTTGAAGACTGAAACGTAATTCTATTTCATATAAAAAGTGATGTCAAACACAAATATCGCTTGAGTACTATATGGGTATTTGTGCCCATATAGATTAGACAAAGTACCGGAATAGCTATAAATAAATGGAGGTATACTAGAGAGCTATCAGTAAGTATCGACGATTGCAAAAGAACAAGAAACGCAGAAAGTAATCCCACTTGATTAGTATAAAACTTTGTAGTACTTAACATTTGTTTGAATAACGTTATATTGCATTTTATTTTATTCACGTTGATTTCATTTTAAATATTTCAATCGCAATGTTTTTCTTTAGTGATAGATTTGAAATATATTATTAAAGTGATATAAATACTAGCTTAGTTATCTATGTTAGTATAGCTTGTTAATTAAAAAAGTCAACTTGTTTTCTACAGTGGCTGTGTTAAATGGATAAAGCTAGCTGCTTTTCACACCTGCCTTTGCTATAGACGCCGTTTCTTAGTTATTTTATATAAGAGATCAGACCCTATCAGTCGCGATCTGTTTGGCAAAAAGCAATGGCAGACGTCCCAATCGCCAGAAGACGTTAACTGCAATCAGTTTGGCGGCGCTTATCAGTCTTTTTGGCCTGGTCGAAAGGCACTACTCTTTTGTGTTCGCACTCCAAATCACAACAACACCCTGCGTCGCACCAAATATTGATTACACAATTCATGGCACTTCAATTAGAGGCGTCTGGCCAATTGCCTCAAATGGGTCTCTCTCCGAAGTCTCCGCCTCATAACGAGGTTTCTTTCAGGCTGATAGAGGTTCGTTCCCCCAAAATCATGTCAACTTACATAATAATCCCTGCCTTTATGGGGCAAGTGTGGATTGGGTTAAGCTTTACATTCATTGGGCGGTTTAATTGGCTCCAACTATGCATGATATCATTGAAAATTCCCCACAAATTCCTTTTTCCCTCAGTTCTAGTCCAAAAAATACACAAAAACAATACAATACTTTTTTATTACCTGTTTAAATACGAGCCGAAAATAGCGGCAGATGTTTTTATTCAACTTTTTATTCAAATTCCAGGAATTGTTTACTCTGCTGATTGTTTTGTTTAAACAAGCTTGTTTCAGTTGGAAGATACAATATGTTGCACATACATATATTGATTGAATTTCAATTCAACTCAACTTCACTGCACACATTACACAACTTGACGAACTCCAAATTGGTTTTTCCTTTTTCCAATATTATTGATTAAACTTTGTTGACTCTTTTGTGTAATTCGGATTCGGGTTGATCGGCACACGCGGCTTCCCAGTGCGACTTCGAGTACGGTTTTCGATTGAGTTTTGCGATTGCAATTGGCGCACAATTCAATTAGTGCAATAACCGGCGTACGCGTTGTGTCTCACCTGCACAGGTGGAGCGGAGCAAACAGAATGAATTGAATCAATGGGACAGCGGCAAACGAAATCGAAAGAAAAAAGCGGAAAAAACACAGTCGGATTCCCGCTTGCGGCAAAACTGAAACTGAAATCTACGAAGCGAAAAAGCCGAAGCGACCCCACAAAAAAGTATATACACAGCGACAGAAAACTGAAACCGAACTGAACCCGGCCAGAGTGTATTGACGGCAACGAGTGGTAGTACGGGTATCGGCTTATTAGCCACCTTGCGTTGCCAAATCGAACTGATTAGCGTTTCTTGGCCCGCTGCAGGTGGCGGTGTGTGATGGCTTAACAGAGCGCTGTTAACCAACTAACAGCAGGCACAGTGGAACACATTAGATCATTTTCATAGGAAAACTTCATAAATTGTAAAAGTGCGTTGAACATATGTAACTCTCTATTTCAAGTTCAGGAATATGCATGTCTTGTTATCACATTAATACCAATTTTTAGTCCTTTTTGCTGCGATGCCAGAACAAAGAGTATCTTCCGTCTTTAGATTTGTAGTTTTAGAGCATCAAATCTCATTAGCGAAGTCTTCTGGCCTCGCGTTCAGACTCCAGCAAGGTGAGAATGTCGCCCACGCGCACTGGTCCCTTCACATTGCGAATGATCTGGCGATTCTCCTCGCCAAGGAACTCCACCTTGACCTGGGTACACTGGCCCTGCGAGCCGGTCCGGCCAAGGACCTTAATAACACGTGCCCACACTTGCTTTTGGTCCATGGCTATTCAAAATTTTCTCAAAGTTTCGCAAAGAAAATTCACGCAAAAAGTTTGGTTTATGGGAATAGATATTAAATAACGATATTATATCGATGCTGAAATTTGACGCAAAGGCGCTTTGATCAATATTTTCGTTTCATTATTTGGGAATATTTTGCAGGGAATACTTTGTAGATGATTTTAGCGCATGATTTTTGGTTGACCTAATTTTCTTATTTTTATTATATTTTATTTGTATTATATTATTACGAAAGCTGAATCTCTTCGTCATGGATTTAAAATTTGATTTATTATATTTCACTTACCATAATAAATATCCATTATTAACCCACTGTCCACCCGATCCGACACGAACTGTTTATGCAGCTTTATTCATGTTGAAAGCGAGGTGTTCAGTGTACACTGTACATGGTCCGTTATTGTTGATGGCATTTCTTTGTGGGTGTTGTCATAACAACAATAGTTCAAGCGTCCCCAAATGGATAAAGCTTCCTATTCGCATTACCATACCCACTTCCATTTCCATTCCGAAGCCGAATCCCCATTTCCAGTAGAAGGAACACTTGTGGTCGATTTTCGCTATGCATTCGCATGAACCATAGAAAGTCGGGGGCGTTAATTAGCACGTGTAGCTAGTATTACCCACAATTATATAAACATTATCCAGTTATTCAGTTGTCGGTGGCCATATGAGGGCGAGCCCCGCAACAGACAAAGCCCGGTTCACATGTGAATTGTGAGGTAGTAGACCCACGTATACACAGTTGTATATGTAGATGGCCCAATCTGAATATGTATTATGCCCAGTTTTATCTTTCGCTCATTGTATCTGCATCTGATGTGGCAGCGGGCAGAGGGGAGGTGGCGCCAACAAACCGAAAGCCAAAAGACCCCCCAACTAATTATGCACCTAACAAATCTAACAAAAAATATAAAAAGAAACTAAAGCTAAGCAACAAACTCTTCAATTTCCACAAAACCACAGTCGGATAGGGCCCAATTTCTACAGGGTATCCACAATAGTGCGGCTTTGTTGTGGATTTTTGCTCACTTTCCTCAGTATCCACATCTTCCAGCGGGTTCACAGCTCTGCAAACAAAGCTGAAGCTCTTAGTTTCTTCAAGGAAGAGCGCACTATCTCGTTCCATATGATCGATGATGGCCTTAGTAAGGCGAGTGATGTAATCGAATATTCACTTAGTCAAGGCTGTGTGCGAGTTCATTGTACTTGTACTATAATATTTACTTTTCTTTCTAATATTAACCAAGATATTATGATAAAAAGAAGCTTCCTAACACTCTATTATATATATTATATGTTAAATATTGAAATTGATATTCGTATGCACATTTTTTTCTGCAAAAATCCTTAGCTTTACTCTTTATACCAAAAGCTGCTTGAATATAAGTATTTTTTCCTCCCCAAAGAGTAACCTTCGGCTCTTCAGAGCCCATAAAGCATCCATAAGCCCAAGGTTAACCCATGCCAAAAGGGGCGAGAATCGCTGCAGTCAACCTTGGGCATGGCAATCAAATCCCCGAATTGCCCAATTCCCCAGCCTTTGGCAATCAGTGAACCTTTCTCCCTGCCCATGTAAATGTCCTGCGGGATTGTGGCGTTTGATGAACACATGAGGCAGAAAGCTTCTGCCTTATTGGAAGCCATGGCCTGGGAGAACTCCGGGACCCAAGGCCCCAGGCAATTTCATAATCCCGAATTCCGCACTTGAATGATTTAATATTTGTTGCCTAACCAGGAGATTCCTTGGCAGGGATATGGACATGGGTTGTGTGGTTCTCTGTTTGTTTGTTTGTTTGTTTGCTTGGTATTATGATAGCAATTAGGTAACTCACCGGCTGTTGGGGTGGACTGGTGGGCATCGTTTCCTGGACTGGAGATGGGAGTGGAGGTTACAGCACCGCCATGCGACCTTCCGCCCTCCGAGGGCAACGACAATGGCCCCTGGCATCCACTGGCATCCAGGTCGGGTTCCAGCGGCGGCGAGTTTTCCCTCACACACGACATAGGGCGGAAGACATGCTGGAAAGAAACACAAAGGGAAAACTATTTGTAATTGCCTTTAGCAAATATGTGGAATTGGTGCAGAGTCTCCCACTCTTACTCCTCCTCCTAGCCGGCAGAGTGGACTCTTCCGCGATGGCTTCCACCCGGGCAACCTGACCTGACCCATCCCACCCCATCCGTCACCTGCAGTGACACCTCCGCTAATGAAGCGCCATTACGTCGGTGTTCTGCGGGAAATTAAATGTCATATTGTCATATTGCATGAGAGAGAAAAGTCAAGCCAAAGCTGACAGGAAATTGCAGTGGAAAGTCCCTTAGGGTCGAGGTGTTAAATTCAATTAGTTCTTGGGGTACATAATGGTTTAAAAGTAAGTTTGCTCCTAATAAATGGACTATTAAATTAATAAAAGAAGAACGGTCATTAATACTTGATTGAAAGAAATATAGATAAAGTATAAGAATATACTAACAAATGTACATTTGCCTAACTAATAATTATTTATAAATGTGTTACAAATTCAAGTTTAAAATGATTTCAATCATTTCTGTTTTGATATAGATATCGATTTTCTAGAGATATATTTTAATCTTCCTAAACTTGGTCAATCCATAATAAAATGTTCTACGCCAGTTTTCTAAATATACAAACTGAAATACTGAAGTTCTTCCTTAATCAATCAATCAGTATAGCAAATTAAATCCTAGCTAGCAGCTGATGCCTGATTTATTATGTTATCTTTATACCCAATACTCTCAGCATTCAAATACTATTAATCTTTCAAAATAAATTTATTTGTCATACAGACTAGGATTTCGAAATGAATCACAAATATTTAAATGGCAAGCAGCCATGATGCTTTGACCCATCCCATCGTCAGATCATCGGCATCTTGTCAGCCCAGGGCAGTCAACCCACTTGATCAGCCCCAGAGGCCACCACCAATAAATAAATGTCATGGCCCGACCAGAATGCAGAATGCATCTTCCATTTGTGCAGAGAGTTCCCCAGAATCACTTCGATTCGCATCGATTCGAATCTGAATGCGTCTGGCCCAAAGGCATTTCAAGGAAAGCTATTTTCAACTAGGAATTTGCCTCTTTAGCTGAACTCTGTAACCTGCATCAGTCGTTGGGGATGCTCTGTCTTGGATTTGGATTTGGATTTGGCTTCGGGCTTTGTTTTGGCGCCAGACAACGAATGGGCCGTGAGTAATGGGCACTCGACCGGATGATTCATGCCAAGTTCGGGGATGCCGAACACTCACAGACGTTGTGTGATTTATCTTACATCAGCTGTGTGCGATATGTGGCCAAGGAAGAGATCTTGTAGCATTAATTGTATGATTTACAAGATATAGGCATAAAATGTTCACTAAAATTATGAGGATTAAAGGTTTGTGTTTTCTATGGTAGGGGAAATTTAAGAAACATTTGAGCTATTTCAATTACAAATAAATTACCATGTTAAAAATGCATTTTCCTCTTGAAATATGGTAAGACTATATTATAATACTTATGCCTTAAATGTTTGTATACGTATTTAACGCTGATAAATAATTCAAAATAATGTTATTAACATATCTTTTTTAAGGCTCGTTATCGTTTAGATAGTTTTTCGTTAAATAACTTATTACTTTTTACTAACTTGTTACTTACTTACCTTAAATTTTAATTATTTTGTAAAGGCTGTATTTTATTGCTCTCTATATCATTTCTATTAAAAGGCTCGAAATTCAATTAAATGTACAAATATTTCGGTTTACTACTATAACACTATTTAAAATGAAAAATATTTTTCACAAATTAATTTAAAACTGTAAAGTGTGTGGTTTCTAACTTATTAAAAGTTACTTTTTAGTTTAATCTTTTGACCATGAAATACTAATAAATTAGGAAAGAATAAATTCCTAACTGTATATATACTTTTCATGAAATACTTTCTTAAATGTAAAAAAAAACTAACGAAATTATAACCAATATATAAACCCATAGCTTTACTTTATTCCAACTTCTCTAGCTTGTTTTTAATTTTTCTCTCTCATTTTTCACTGCATATTTTTAGGCTTTTTATCAAATTAAGTAAGTGGATGTGCGTATGTATATATTTTATATTCACTAGTAATTAGTGCATTTTGTGAACGAGGGATTAACGCTCCAAAGAGCCAAGAGTGCGAGCAGGTGGGTTAACCCAGTTAGTGGAGCTGTCCAAATAACGCGCCAAGCTGACATTTGACCCCTTTTTGGGGTAAACAAGCCCGTGCTGTGCTCGGAGAATTTGATGTGCTAATTAGTGGGGGAGAGCAGCCCCATCTCCCAGCCCCCTTTTGCACTTTTTCGCCCCTCCCTCGAACAACCAGCGCAAATTGCAGTTTAAGCGTTTTTTGCGCATTGAAATGGAAACTGCAGTGGCGGGGATTCGTGTCGACATTCGTCGTGGGTGCAGTGCAGCAGCGCTGCTGATGGAATCATGAGGAGCTACTGATGATGACGACGCGACGATGGCGATGGAAGCCGCGATGACGATGCCGCTGATTGGAGCAGACAAATGAGCAGCGGCGCAAATGTTCATTTGCCGTTTGGTTAATTAAACCGAATGAGTGCCTCTAGGGGCGCATAAGTGCATACATATCTACATATACATATATATATAAAATATATATGATATGGAATAGGATGGGGATGAGGATGAAGAGCCGGAGAAGAACAGCTGCCCACTAAGTGCGATTTGGCATTGAACTTGGGGGAATGCCAAGGCAAAATTCATTGAAGCTGCCAATTGAGCTGGACAGGGGATTGGGGCGAATTTTTAGTCGGCAAACTACTATAATTTATGAGTCAACTTTGGGACATATCTGATTAATAACCAGTTCAGTTTTGGCAAGCAAAACAATGAAGGTTTTTAAATTAAAATGTTTGGACTTTAATCTTTTTTATAGAATGGATATAAATTGGGAACTAAATACGAGTTCATTCTAATTTAAAGAGCTTTTCAATGAATCACTTTGAACACAAACATATATTAATTTAAAGTTTACAACAGTTAAGGGACTATTAGTTTAAATAATTTGTAACATATTAAATGAAACTTTTTATTACGAATTCAAGAGCAAATAACTTACCCATTAAAAAGAAAATGCTTTAAGAAGGAGTTACTTCATAGTCTAAAATGTCTCACTTCTAATAATTTTTTATTACTAAGAATATAAAGTATAAACATAAATAAAAAAACTTTATATTAACGTTTAAGTTCTTTAACAACTTTGTACACTTTGTGTTCTCAAATATCCTAATTGTAAACATTACTCAGAATGTAATTTATTTACTAAAATGTTCATAAACACAGCTACTTTGTGGTCTACAATGATTTATTTTTAAACATTTATCATTACATTTATAATATATATATAATATAAGACATTCAGTTGACTTTTAAGATATTTTTTTAAATAATCTATTTCGAAAATTTCCTTAGTCTTATAAGAATAAGGCTCTTTACAAGACACAATTAAATGATACTTTAAAGATTGAAACTATGGAGCACTTTTCCTTTAAGTTTTAAAATATATACACATTTAAACCTTATTTTAACGACCACTATTCCCACTTAATCTCAGTAATCTGTCATTAATAACACATTAAATTTCCGCATTTGTAATTGATTAACAGCCTGAAAGTATGCCGCACTTAGGGAGGCTGACAACCTCAGCTTTGATTGCTCGGTCGAGAGATTTTTCAACGATTTTCCACTGATTTTCCAGCGAAACGCGACAAGAGAGGAGTGGAGGTGAGCAACGAAGGGGAGACTGAGACGTGGTCTGGCACCTGGTAGTGGCGTCACGTCACGCAGCTTCTGCCTCGCATCTCACAGCTCGTAGCTCGCGAAAATCTAACAAATTAACTTTGACTTTCATTTACATTTCGCAGACGAGCACACACTCTGCACAGCTCACTTGGCAAAGTGGGCAAACACACGTTGCAGGGAAAATGGTGGAAAAATATATATATGAAAACGAAACCAAAAGAAAAACAAAGCCAAGCCAAAGCCACAGCCAAAACAGCAGCTGAAGAGGATGAGGCTGCGGCCACAAACTATAATTATGTGTGTGGCATTTGCATAGGCCCAAACACGGAGCCCGCCGGTTAATTGCACTTGCTCATTACACAAATTTGCCAACTTAATTACGAGGAGCCCCAGCCAGCCAGACAATGGGCCAGGAAACTGGCTAACTGCCCCATGGGCTCTGCCTCGAAGCTCTAACTTGAAACTCAAGCTCAAACTGAAGCTCAACCTCGCAGCAAAGTGTGAAATTCTCGGATGTATCTAAGGCCATACAGTAAGAGAAAATGGGAGGAATAGCTGTAATAAATTGTATTATTTACATTATTCTTAGAAACGAATCCTATATAAGCCCTCCTAATATTATTTTGTTTAGCCATAAATCAGTAAATTCGAATATTTACAATTTTGTTAAGTGAAAATATCTCAGATTTTAAACCCAATAGTTTAGTTTGTTTTTCTCGCTGTGCATAGCCACTTGTTACCGACACTTCAGCACTATTTTTATTCCCATTCCCAGTGGCAAGTCAGTCTCAGGCGTCATTGCAAAACGGCCAAGTGGCATAATGGTCAAGCCAAAGCCAAAGAGCTGGACAAATTGAAAAGGAAAGCAGCAGAGTGCCCCTGACCGGAAAGCTCGTCACAACTCAAGAAAGAAAAGCAAACAAAAGTGCATGCTCATCGGACATTACACGATGCAAAATCGCCATTAAGTTACCTCACTTTACAGTTTATTTGTCATTAGTTTCCATGACCAGGCTTTGACTTTGCACCGTAAATATAAAAATATACAATATACAAATTTGGTGCCACCCTGAAGGTCATCTCAGTCTATGCGGAAAATGCTTAAACTTAAGACTTTGAAGTGCATTTAAAACACACAAGTTGAAATTGAAATCGGGGATGCATGTAAATTTCTCAAGACAAATTTGCCACACTTTCGTTTTCCCACTTATAGTTTGGTTTTTGCCAGCTGTTTTATTGAGGATCTTAATTGGAAAAGTTGAGAAAATGGAATATCTGTTTATTTATGGCTGCCAAAATGGATATATCTTGTGTGTGTTTTACAAATACATGTTGAGTGTGTTGAGTACACTCATAAATAGTTCAGATAACAGATTTTCCACATCTTGTACGTTTCACCCGTTGCAATGACCAAAGACTGGGTACAAGTACTATCCTGGGTGTGACTCTGATAAGGAAATGAATTGGCAAATAAGAGCTACACATGTATATACATTTTTCTAAAGATAGTCTTAAGAGTAAGGGAAAGAAGTTCTAATTAGTAGTCAAAGACATGCAAAGAGATAAAAAAGCTGTTAAGGGGGAACAACTAGCAATGAGTTTAAGGAAATTACAAATTAAATTAAATACGTTACAGTAAAAGTAGAAAAAACTAGTAAAACTTTATGAAGTACTTTGAATTTAAATACGTATATCTAGGAAAGAAGTTCGATATGATTTATATAAATCTATCACTTTCAATACCAAATCGAAAATATCGTAGACGAGTAGAAATTTAGGTACCCACTTATTATATATCGACTTTTGCGTCAAATATCTATACAGTATCGATATTATAATATTTTAACCCCATAAAGAACAAACTTTTGTAAAGGTGAATTATTTTTCTAATATATATACTACTATCTCCACAACTAATATTATTCAAATGCAAAAACAGCAAGCAGCCTATTTGCTCAATTTGATTTGAAAGCACAAATCTTTGGTCTGTGTTCCTCCCTTCCATCCATTGCCCAATATTAACTCATCAATTTGAAATTCAATATAATGGCTTAGGAGCAAAGTTCTCATTCCTTTGTACTTTTCGGAGGCCTATTTAATCGCATCCCATTCTATTTGATTGGGCTCTTGAGCATCGGACCTCCTGTTTATACAGTCCTCGCTTTCGCTCCATTTGACAAATGCGAACTTTGAACCCGAAAGTGTCCCTCTCCCCACACCTCCTTATCAATCAATCTGTGTACGACGTATGATAGATGAAAATCGATGAGAATCAATGGGTAGGAGGGGACAGCGAAAAGTGTGATAAGAACGGTTCCAGAACGATGATGTGATGATGATGATGATAATAATAATTTTAGCGATGACGCAGCGATGGCTGATTCAGATATTCTGATTCCTCGCTTGATTTATAGCCTGTTTTTGCATTGCTTTAATCGGATTACATACTGCTGATCCGAACCCAAATCGGTGGGGGATCGTCGCTCCTCATGAAACATGAAAACAAATTTTTGAAATGCCTTTTATAATTTTTGTTCACTATTGAGTTCGAGGCTTTTGGTTTTTTATTTTTCCGTCCGCGTTGCCACAACTTGTGGCTGCTGGCGAAGTGAGCGACTGAGTCCGAGTCTCCATACGGATTTCATATTGCCGGAGTTCGCCAGATGTGTCTCGGCGAAAAAAAAAACAACAACAAAAGCGTGGAAAATTCATAGATTTTATGTGAGTATGGGGGACGAGTTCGTGCCCAAGGTCAAGGAGCGCAACTGCGAAATGGCTCTCTTCTCAGCAGGAATCTCTCTCTGTATCTCGTTTTTCACAGCATCATTATCGCTCTTTCAGTTTGAAAGACATTGGATAAATGTTGCTGAGTGTATATTTATATATGTATAGCTTAGTTTATAAATTTGTATTTTTAACGTTTATAAAATAAAGAAGATACTATTCGGGCAACAGTCCCTTTAAGGGTATCCAACATTTTCTTTTGTTTATGAGACAATTCTGGCCTGGTATTTCATAGTCGGGATGCATACGTTTTTATTATTTTAGTTTTATTTTAGATTAAAAACTTTTGATTGGGGAAAAGTTTTAAGTAAATCCCAACTCCAATTTTTAAGTTCTTTACTTATTATGATTAAGTAAACCAGGAATACTAATATTGACACTAAACACAACTATGCAACAACAACAGTAAGTTTTCAATTAGCCAATTTCAAACAATAGTTTTCTCTCAAATAACAGAATAACAACTTTGTTATTTACCGAATCACAGAAATTTAAACAAACATTTTCATAAACAAAAACCATGATTAAATCCTGTTAAGTATGAATAAAAGGAAATTAATTGTTCAACCTGGAAATGAAAGTTTTGTTTACATATCAAGTAAGAAAATGCTAATTTAAGTTTAAATGTTATGTCTAAACAACATTAGAGCGCCTTAGCGACTTGTTTGAGTTCAGGTTACAGACTCGTTAATAACTAGTTTTTAATAAAATCCTTAGCTCCAGCAACTTGATAAGAATCCAGTTCCGATATATTACATCATAGATATAGGGAAATTGTGCCGACACTCCTGCTATCAATAAAAATTTGTGGTCAAAAAACTTGAATGAAATCAAGGCAATAAAAATGTTGCCATCTAAAAATGTTGCCAGGACCTTCCCCACTCTCTCTATCTATGTATCTCTCTCTGTGCGCAATCGCTTTTCCGCCCAAAGAAACCAAAAGTGAATCCAACACATATACATATATACATATGGTTGAGGAGAGAGAGAGCCTGACCTAGTCAACGAAATTGTCAGAGGTCCGTCACCGAATAACCAAATAAGGCAAAAAGGAGCCGACTTCCTTCCTCTCTTCAACGGCAGAATCCTTGTGCCCTTTGCTGGAGAGCGGCCAAGTTGTGTTGGAAATTTTCCGCACACCTACTACCTTTTCTTGAAATTAGCCAAGAAAGGCGTTTGGCACACAAGCGAAGAAGGCCAAGTTTATGGGCTTGGCCAATAAATTGAGGCATCAAAAAAAGAGCTGAGGACACCACAAGGTTAGCTCTTCTCCTCTGTATAGTTTTCGAATATGGGTTAATCAGTCCGATTTATACGGTTTGAATTACACGCAGCCTCAAGCCTCAAGGTCGATCTGCGCCGAAGGTCTCGTCAAACAATGACGGCAAAAATGTTATTGTAATCAGAATAAAACCCCAAAACGAAGCTCACATTACCATAACAACGGGGGCATGGAGGCAGAGACGTCGCCCAGGTGCGAAAAAATGGGCTCTTTATATTCGTACATTTTACATTTTAATGCTGCACGTGCAGCAGTTCTATGTGGTGACTTTTGAAGGGTTCCTTCCTCTCATAAACATAAATTTGCTTAATGCCAAGAACCGAGACACCAAGACAGTCACCAAAAAAGTCCTCCCTCTGGCCTGGAATCTTAAGCAAAACCATAAAAATGGCCGGCAATTCCTCCTCAGGGGTGGCCTAATTTTCTAATTTAAGAGCACACTTTTCCCCAAGAATTACTAAAGTTTTCCCCAGACCCCGTATATTAGGAAATAAGAAGCAGAAAATAAAAGCGAGATCAAAGCAAATTATGATTATTACTCGCTATTTCTTGGATAAATATTACCAAATCCCAGGAAGTCATTCCGTTTCGTTGCCCAACTCACCTGATCTCGCTGAAGTGGATTCTCTGTGGGTTCTATTGAATATTTTTCCGCCTTTCGGTTGTTTTTTTGTTTTTATTTTTGTGTTTTTTTTATCGTTTAAATTGTCGTTACATTTTTCAAACGCTTCTGAATTGGTGGTCTGAAAAAAGACAGAAAATAAAGCACATTCAGTTAATTGTATTTTCAAGTGGAGTGATGCAATCGAGTACCGAATGAATCCCAAGGTTGGTGGCCACATGTGTGGGGCATCTGTGGCTCCCCAAGTTCTGTATGCTATTTATGAACTCGTCAAGTTCATGTTCCCCAAAAAACACAAACACAATGCTCCATAGCCAAGAGATAAATCTTGGGTATCTGACAAAATAAACACCTTTTCAAAACATTATCAACAACTGTGATCAACTTTCCGGTTGATGTTTAAATACAATTTGTTAGTATAAATGATCTTACAAGGTTTTAAAGAGGTTTTAAGGCCAGGAAAGAGATGATTTTAGACTGCATTCTAAAATTTAAAAAAACACTCCACAGAAAATGCAACAGATATTATAAGTATATTTTTTCCTGTGCTCTAAAGAGCCTCATCCTTCCCTTCTCATTAGAATCAATCAACACATTAGCCGGTCAATGACCTAAAAGGCGAACATGAACTCTCGGCGGGCAGCTGTGGCGAGTCCTGGATTTCCCAGCCCAATGGCGACGACTGATAAGGACGAAAGTCGGGCGTTAATCTTGATTATCCTCGGGCAATACAATGGCTCAGGACTAAAGACCCGGTCGCATTACGTAAGGCCTGAATGCCGAAAACAGACTTCATTTTGTCACGTTCCATGCTGCCAAGCCTGCTGAAAAGGAATTTTCACATTGGGCTAGGCCCTCCTGTATCCTTCGTGGCATGGCATGGCCCCCAATCCCGATCCTTAACCCCTTTGAATTTGCATATCCATATCGCATATCATGCGGCGTATTGAAAGCCGGTGTCCCATTATAAATATACGGGGCTTTGGAGCCATCTCCTCCTGCCCTCCCGTCGCGGATGTGTGCGTGTTTTCAGCTGATTTGCATGGAAATGGGCCCCGGAAAAGCCAAGGGAGCCGAGTTAGGAATTAAGAGGAGGTCACACATTTTTGTGTGCGAAAGTAAAACTCGCCTGCAGCGAGTCTGCAATTAAATAACGTCGAAATAACTGAGTTACGACGTTCGCAAAGGATATTTTGCAGAATGCCATGGAATACCAAAACAGGATATTAAATTCCATATAAAATTTTAATAACACTAATTTGGAGTGTTGTAATTGAAAGTTATTTATATTTGATACTAGCAAGTTTTTAGTGAAGTACATACAACAAATGTATTTTTCAGTGAATAAGTCGAAAAATGTACTTCTTTGATCCAAAACCAAAACATTTCAAAGAAAAATTAAGTTAATTCAGCCAGAGATATATGTATGTACATAGATGGGAGAATCTCTTCTTTAAAACATCGTACATAACATACAAGCAAACGAAAATTATATAAAATTTATATATTCAAACTCACAACTAAACATAATAAGCACAAAAGGAGCTAACTTCAGGAAGCCGAATTTTCTATATACAAAAAAGATAAATAATTAATTTCAATATTGAAAAATACCGAACTTTTATTGATATTCCTATGTTTTCATGTTTTCATATGTACATATGTATGAACTTATAATACAAAGAAGTCTTAAAAAGGTCAATATCACTTTAGAATAAATTTTAGATTTACGGATCGTTTCTATGGTAACATTATGAATAAACCGCCATTTCAAAAATATTTGTATCTTATATTTAGTATTTTTTCCAACCGTAATCAGATATTATTGGATGGAGAATGATGGGAATTCGAGTTTCATATATTTCATATATTCCAACCGTTTCAGATGGTTGGTTAGTATTGAAAAAAGGCATAACTTTGCCCTCCTAATCCGACGTCCTTTTTATACCCTTACAGTGTATTTTAATTTTAGTCAGAAGTTTTCAACGTAGTGACGGAGACATTTCCGACCATATAAAGTATATATATTCTTGATCAGGATCAACAGCCGAGTCGATCTAGCCATACCCGTCTGTCCGTCTGTGTGTCCATTTCTACGCATACTAGTCCCTATCTCAATGAAATTTTGTAGTTAGTCTTCTATATACGGTTACTCATATATATGTCGCGATACTCGTATAGCTGCCATACAAACGATCGGAAGGTTTTTACAAAATAAATTTTAACATTTTTATTAATATATCTTATTCTACAATTTTGTGTAAAATTTTATGAAAATCGGACCACTATATCATAGCTGCCATAGGAACGATCGTCAGAGAAAGAGGAAAACGGTACACTGTGAATGTGAAACTGTGACTGCAAAACTGTGAATTTGTTTTTTTGACATAAATAAATAAAATGTATGTTATATTGATTCCTAGTGATTAAACTGTAACCTGCAAGGGTATAAAAACTTCGGAGTGCCGAAATGAGCTTTTTTTCTTGTTTTAAGGATAGTTTCGCAGAGCAACATCCACTTAGAAGAATTGATAGCACTAACTACAAAAACGTAAGCAACGACGATGATTAAAATATGGAAGGCATCGAAACTAAAAGTATACAAAATTAAGTTGCTTATACATATTGTAAATTTCCTATAGATCATATTCCAATAATGTTCTGAATCGCTTTTATTATACCCTTGCAGTGTATTATAATTTCAGCCAGAAGTTTGCAACGCAGTAATGGAGACATTTCCAACCATATCAGCATCAACAGCCGAGTCGATCTAGCCATGTCCGTCTGTCCGTCCGTCTGTCCGTTTCAACACAAACTAGTCCCTCAGTTTTGAAGCTATCGCAATGAAACTTTGCAGTTGGTCTTCTATATACTCTTACTCGTATATAAGTTGGAACGAGCCAGATCGGATGACTATATCATATAGCTGACATAGGAATTATCGTACAATTAAAAAAAAAAAAAACTATAGCTTTTCCAGTTTTTAACAGATTTGCATCAAATAATAATTATATATAGGTTAAGAATTTTCATTATCATATAGGTGCCATACAAACGCTCGGTACAAATAGATGAAAATACAAAATTGTGAAAGTAAAACTATAAATATAAAATTTTAAGGTGAATGAATTGAAAGCATTACATCATTGTTTTTTAACATAAATATATATAATTTATATGCATTAATTCCTAGTGATTGAATTTTAATCTGCAGGGTTATATTAACTTAAGCGTGCCGAAATTAGCTTTCTTTCTTGTTTTATATAAAACCCCAATATTGAAGTAATTGATAATATAATTTAAGAGCGTCTACCATCTTTCACAAACTTTGTGCTATTTACTGTGGATGTTTCACATTTGTCAAATATTCGAACTGTTTCACACTTTGGGCTTTGTGGAAGAAGACGGTATAAACTTTCATTATGTGTTCTACTTATCGATAAGTAACTTTGATTAGTGTAAAAAAGCTATAAATGTCTCAGTAACAACGATATAATCGAGGATTGCGACTCTGTACCGGAAATGAAAGAATATCTGATGAAATAGTTGAAAAGCTTGCGCGTGTAAGTAATCTGGAGTCTGCGAAAAAAGAAGTTCTTACAACTGGAACAGTCAAAAACTTTAAAACAACTGTCAACGTGGTTCCAGAAGACAAGTAAGCTCTAGTCAGTACATTTGATTGAAAATTAGTAGCCGCAAACATGGATTTGAAGAAGATTGAGGAAAACCCTGTAGAAATGTTGAACTCGAAGAAGGTCAAAATTCCAATTGAGGAGAATTCTGTGCCTGCAACCATAGAAGGGTCTTTGGGTGGTGCTAAGGATGAACCCAAAGAGTCAACCGAGAAGCCACTTGCCTTGATGCAAGAGACCATTACTCAAGGAAAGAAAGCCCAGGGGGCTGAGTCCGATGTCGATGTTAAACCAATAGGTGACACCTCCGTAAAGATAAAAGAAGAGATGGATCCTGAAGCTGTTGTAGAAGAGTCTTTGGGTGGTGCAAAGGACGAACCCAAAAAGTCAACTGAGAAGCCACGTGACTTGATGCAAGAGACCATCACTCAAGGAAAGAAAACCAAGGAGGCTGACTCCGATATCGATATAGAGTCAATAGCTGACATCTCCGCAAAGATAGAAAAAGAGGAGGAGCCTGAAGCTATTGTAGAGAAGTCTGTGGCTGCAACCGTAGAAGACTCTTTGGGTGGTGTTAAGGAAGAACCCAAGAAGTCAATCGAAAACACACGTGGCTTGATGCAAGAGACCATTACTCAAGGAAAGAAAGCCAAGGAGGCCGATTCTGATATCGATATTGAGTCAATATCTGGCACCTCCAAAAGCGAGAATGCAAATCAGTCTGCTCAATCGGCCAACAAGGAAGCCGCAATGACTTCTGAAAAGAAAGCAGCTAATGAAGGACGTCCCACTAGATGGAAGCGTGTTCTCCAGAGTTCTGGGAGCCATTTCGATCAAGAGAAGGAAAAGCAACACTTTAAGAAACGCAAGATCCACCCCAAGGACGAAGCTGGCGGCACAAAACAATTGGAACATGTTACAAAAGGGGTTGAATCTAAAATCAACCAGTTACCGAAGACGGTATCTGAACCGGGATATTTTCAAATCACCCGTCGTAAGATCATTACCATAAGTCGACGTGAACTGGAAGGTCTGGCCATGAAATCCATGGTCGATGAAAAGAAGGCCAAGTGTGATGCCGCGAACATCCGCAAACTGTGGGTGGATACCAAGAACAAAAAGGCCACATATGACCGTAAGGTCAGCGAGATGTTGAAGGGTATATCCGAACTGCAAAAGGGTGATACCAAAGTCGTGGCACGCGGCGCTCCGTCACGTCCATATCAGGCTACCGTCCAAGATGTAGCCTCAACCTCGGGCAGTAAGCTGTCGGCATCCAGTGGAATCTCTCCCAAATCCCAGCTTGTGTTCCGACCCATAGCACTGTATCCAGTTCCGAAATGTGTCACAAAAGTACGCCCCGCTCCCTCAGTGCACAACTCATCTGCAGGAGGCAGCAAAGTTGGATCCCTTGGTCCAAAACGAAACTCCATAGCGCCGCTAGGAGAGGCCATTGAGAATGCAATCAAGTTGATGAATAAGAAATCTGGAGTGGAGGCAGATCCGCCAAAGGGCTCCACTAATGCGAACCCTCTCCTGGGCCAGGCCGCCACAGATGCCGTGAAGGAGACTGCCAAGCTAAAAGTTGAGGGTCCGAAGGCCCTCTAAGACGCCAAGACGGTTCTAAACAATGAAGGTGGGTGCAAAATATTATACCCTATAAAATATTTTATAAATAATTATATATATGTATTTCAACTCTGCAGATCAGATAACACCATGGAACACAATCGTGCGCCACAGATCCTATCTTCCTCGTTCCCATAATTTTCATCAATTAAAAGCCGAATTCCTTTGATTTGTTTAAACAAAAAACACACGAAACATCACTTAATCAACACACCAATTGAAAATGTCATATTTGTTTGATTTGAGAAACATTTTAGTTCCACTTTTTAAGAAAATACAGTAAGGGAAATGATTATGATCTGAAACGCTATACATCATTTCCGATCCCATCTTTGAGGTAAACTAGCTTTTGCTGATTATATATATCTTGCTAATTATATATATGTATGTCTACTCTGCAGATCAGGATAACACCATGGACTACAATCGTGCGCCACAGATCTTATCTTCCTCGTTCCCATAATTTTCATCAAATAAAAGACGAATTCCTTTGATTTGTTTAAACAAAATACACATGAAACAAACATTAAAACACACCAATTGAAAATGTTTGTTTGATTTGAGAAACTTTTTATTCAAAATCAGTTTCACTTAAAAAAAAAAAAACAGTAAGGAAAATGATTATGATCTGAGACGCCATCTTTGAGGTAAAATAGCTTTTGCTGTTCAGAGATATGGAGAGATCAGACCGTCGAAAAAAGTATATAATAACGTGGCTTGATCTGATTTCTACGCAGTTCCAGCCAAGATCGAGCCCTCGAGCAGCTGCCCACCACTGCACTCGGCACTGGTGAGATGCGTTGTTTATGCAAATTGCGCATTGGTCGTGTTCCGTTGTTTCGGCCAGTGGCTAAGAACGAGCCACGTTAACTTTCACTGCCCACACATGGCCCTAGACCCTACATATGTATAGGGTTATCTAATTGGATTGCTGGGGGACCGGTGAAGATTAATTGCAGGGGGAGACCTCTTCGAGATGAGCACTCACAATGGACACCCGAAACAATGATGAAAAGTAAAAGTTTGTGTTCGGGGCAATCGAACAATGCACCGAATGATGAATCTATGAATAAATTATACGATCTGGAATTCTAAACGGGTTTTGGCCGCTTTTATCACTCTGCCAGTGTGTGTGTTGTTGCTAATGTTAATTTTATGCACTAAAATTGGTTTGCTTCTTCCTCTCCGAGTTGTGTTTCTATAAAACTTAATTGAATTTCGTTTGTCATTTCGCTTTGGTGTTTCGTTTTCTCCAAATTAGTTTCGTTTGCCATAGAAGAACATTATTATTATGGCTAATGTGGGTATAAATAGTACACATATTCGTATGAAATGGCAAGTGAGGCGGGTTCTGGTCTGGAAATAATATTCAAGGAATGCAGAAAGGCGGGCGCCACAAATGCACTCACTCATCGCGATAAAACAAACAAATTTGTGCGCCAAAAATAAATAAAAATGCGGATGAGAAAGGAAAAGTGTACAGCAGCCATAAATATATCCATAGAATACCAAATGTACAGGCGAAATAATTGTCTGCCATACAACTTGGACAGATACTTATTTATGTTAATGATTGTGAAGGGGTACATGGACTTTTTCAACCAAAAAGAATGTATTTTTAATTGTAAATATTTTAATGATAACGGAACTTAAGGAATAAAAATGATTTTAAAAAAAGTAATATTTGAACAAGGTTTTAGCTTACTTAAAAGCCTAAATGAACCGTTTAGTCATTTATTTTTGAACAGTCACACATTTATGAAGACTAAAACCTAAAAATAATATAGTTTTAAAGACAGAAAGTTTAATGAACGAAAGATTTCAAATATGTTTAATGAGGTTTTTCGCTTGTTTTGAAGCTGAAATAAGATATTATTAAGGAGCACTACATGTACATATATTTTTGTAGAGGGAAATAGAGTTTTTCAGTCGAAATTATTATATTATATGCTTAATGATAAATAAAATCAAGAAACTCATGTTAATTGAAACATTTTGTGAAGTTTAAAAAGGGTTTTTGCTTATTTAAAGCTCAAATAATACATATAATAACACATTTTACTTTATGTTTTTTAATCTGTAATATAATTAATTGAAATATTTCTTAAAATATATTAAAAAGTTAATTCAACATATGTATAAATATATTTTTAAAGAGCATTGCCTAGACGATTATTCCATAAAAAAATGGTGTCCTGTCTTTGGCCAATTTGACACTCATTCCGGCGGCATCTTATGGCTCACTTTCTCGCTCATTTCTTCCCACTTGCCGGCAATTGCCGCCAAATAGGTCAGTTCAGAGGCAGTGGAGGGTCACTGAACTCTCTCCCTCTCGCTTGCCGGCCAAATATATAATGTATTTATGGAAAATTTGTCACATAACCGAGACACAGAATTCGCATCGACTGGCGGGTAATGCAACACTTCAATGCCACACAAAGTTGGCAAAGTGGAATGAATAATAATAATAATAAAAGTAAAACCAAAAAGCACCGAACAAGAAACCGAAAACTGGAAAACTGAAAACCACAAGACCACACAAAAGGCAGCGCAAAGCAACAATAACAGAAAACTTAATAATAGCACATCAACTTGATGGTACTAACCTAAACCAGGGCTTTTATTACTCAGCAGAAGTGTTTGAATAAAAGTTATGAAATTTCAACAAAGAAGATTGTTAAAGATTTAAGTTTTAGGAACTTATAGGAGGGTAGGTACATCTATTCCTCAAAGACTTTCAAGTATGTTTTTATCCAAAAATCAAATTCATTATCGATGTGGCATAAAAATTAACATTTTCAACTTCTACACACAATTTCTGTTTGTTGTTTTCTCCCTATTTCTTTCGGTTGGTTGAATATTCGTTCCCCTTTTTCTCTCTTTTAAGAATTGAAACCAAAACGAACTGAACATGACTTCAGGCACTTCAGCGGGGGTCCAGCATAAATTGCCAAAGAGTTTTCGTTGTTTTGTTCAATAAAAGCAGCCTCGACTTTACTCCGATCTTTTCCCCTTTCCCAGATCAGCCGTGGCCAGATTCCTCACTTCATTTCACTAACTCCCCTTGCGAGTCGAAAACTCGTTTCTGTTAATTGTTGCGTTAATTTTATATTCTCTGGGATCAGAAACAAAAAATAATAAAAGATATAACAAGTACGTTCTCCCTCCACACCATTCACTCGCTCTTGCCACACTTAATATGCTCTAATTGTGTTGAAAATATGATCTGGGGTTGGTTTCCAACTTGGTTAACCGGCCAGCAATAAATAATAATCATAAATAAATCAAATAAAAGCCATAAACAAATCTTACACATTTTCTTGATTATTTTATGAAATTTTGTAATAAAATTAGATGACTCATCGACCATTTAGGGTACTTAGAATTCAGCTTTTTATTATTTAACTATACCAAAAAGGTCTTAGTAGATAGAGTCACTCATTTACCATTCAAGGTCTTTAATTTTGTGGCAATTTAATTATAAACAGACTCCAAAAAAACAACTCTATAAATAATAACTAAACTCCTTGAACTACCCACGATCTGAGACCAGTTAGTCATAGTTTACCTGGCCGTTAGTCACTCACCTGAACCGCACATTAAGATTGCATCGGGCTAGGAACAAAGGAGAGCTTCGCCAGAGCTCGCTCAGGGGCATGATCCATCGATCTCGAACCGATGAGCCATCAAATAGAGCATCGTAAACCTCAAAATCGAATGCAACGAGTCCGGTCTTCCATTTCCCGCTGATTTTCCCTGGATTTCCATCGACTTCGAGAGCAAGTCAATGGGGCATGAACATGAGTAGCGGAAACAGCCGAACCGACACAAATTTTATTGTGGCCTCAAACGAATCGGATATCGACCGAAGTCGGGTTCCCAAGAAGGGTTCCTGCTGTCCCATGGAGGAACCTGCTATTGTCCAGAGGCCACCGACCTCGACGGAAGTTTGATGTTTCAATTGGATGTGGGTTTTAGGGATAAGTTACAAGACTATAAAATTCCTGCTGATCAATTTTATGGGAATCTCTTCGGGTCATTTTGTATATGATGGAATTGTGGTTTAGTCACAAAGGTTGAAGGGTTAACCAGAAAAGTATATACTTCTTCCAATATTCATTAAGAAAAGCTTCTTATTAATTTCTCTTATTATTTCAATAGAAAGGAATTTAAAAAATTATAATAAACACCGATTTTCCTTTCCCTAATTGCTTATGAATACCTATTTATTTTAGTAGAAACCTTTATTAATGTCTTCACATGGTTAAACACAATTCATAAAGTATACTTACTCCCCAGAAAATAGAGAATATTAAATCCTAAAGTAAACTATCATAATATAAACAAATTGGGAATTAATTTACACAGATTTCCTGAAAATAAATACATTTCTGGTCCAAATTAGTGTCTAGTGAGGATACAACCCACTTTTGCCTTTATATATTGCCAACAATCTCCTATACGCAACCTACATATATCACTTAGTTTACTCGAAGACTAGCCACAAACATTTCCGATAGCTATTTTTGCATAAAGAAAATGCAGCTAGCCGGCAAACAAGGAAAAGGCGATAGCTCTACGCTTGCATTGCCAATTTAGTGGGTTAGGGAAAAGCAGAAAATCGGAAAATCAGCAAACAGGAGACGGGAAAAGTGAGTGAGAGGGAAATGGAAATGGGCTGGAAACACGGCAAATGCTTAGCTAAGCCTGAACGCTCGAGTAATTTGCAAGCATTTTGCTGAAACTGAAATGAAATTCAATTGCGAAATTTAATTTCATTGGATTTAATTGTTGCTGTGATCGGATCAAACAAACAATCGAGCAAACAAGCCGAAGGCAAATCGAATGCGTCTAATCAAACCGCCGGACCGTGAAATCCGCCAAATGACTTCTGAGAGCACACATTCCTCCCCAGATGGGATTGGGATCAGGTTTCGATTCGTATATGTATATCTATATCGTATATATGTGTTTCCAAACCGCGGCGGGTGTGGCCTGCTCCGGATGCTGTCCGCGATAAGGGACCAGATCCAGCAACAAACTGGGGACACACCACCATACCAAGATCCATTCAAAGCGCTTCCTACATATATAGTATACTTTGTTATATAGTGCACAACCCCGGGCTTATCGGTTCTGGCTGAATGCATTTTCATATATCTCAAAGGTCGCCCTCGTTGTGGCTTCCTTTAAGTTCAAAGCTGATAAAGTGACAAAAGGGAAAGTTGTAATTATTTATTCATTTCATTAGAAAAGAAGCCAGAAACTAATATTTTATCTAATGTAATTAATTGGCCTTTGAGAGATCATTAGCAGAGGCCCAAACAAAGAGTTGAACCTGATGGAGATCTTTTGTTTTTATTCAAGCTAATGTATTAGGTCTAGGCTAATGTTTCAGGTTTGATTAATTAATATTGAATACTTATTTGGAATGCTTACAATTATAGTATTATCATTTATCTTTTTGGTAAAGAAGAAAAGTTTAGTAAAATAGGTTTTGGCTGTGCTTTA